CGTGGGAAGCCGCTGCGTATACGTTCAGATAATGCTACGACGTTCAAGTCCGCCGCAGACAAGGTGGCAATCCCGTGGTTCTTCAATCCGCCATCTGCCCCGTGGCATGGAGGGTTCTATGAGCGTCTGGTGGCATGTGTGAAAGCTCCCTTGAAGAAGGTTCTCGGTCGAGCGTCATTGAGTCGAGACGAGCTGTTCACTGTCTTGACGGAGATCGAGAGAGTCGTCAACTCTCGACCCCTCACTCCGGTTTCTACGGATGTAGCTGACGAGTCGCCGCTGACTCCAGCCATGATGTTGGGAGACATCTTTGCAACCGGTATTGCCTCGTCTGACAGACCACTCGATCCACGGCAGTTGTCCGCTCGAGTCAAGTATGTCCACACCGTCTACGAGCACCTCAACCAGCGTTGGTCGTCTGAGTATCTCATTCGTCTCAGTGAGTATCATCGGTCGAAGTCAACTCCGATTGTCGTGAACGACGTTGTGTTTATTGCCGACGACAACCGGAAGCGGCAATCCTGGCGCTTGGGTAGGGTCGCAGAGCTGTATCCTGGAAGAGATGGCAAGTGCAGGGTGGCCAAAGTCCAAGTTGGCCAATCGTCCATGCTACGGCCCATTCAACGCTTGGTTCCGTTGGAAGTAACGAAGGAGCATGTTGAGCCGCCTGCTGTGGACGCTGAGCCGCAGCCGCAGACACCCGCGAGCGCTGATCCCGTCAACGTCGTCGATGATGTTGAAATACCTTCGACGACCGTTGAACCGCAAGTTACGCGTCGATCTCGTCGTACCGTTCGACCACCACCTCGTCTTGATTTGTGATCAGTGTGGTTGAAGCCCTTTGGTGGGGAGAATGTTGTGTATCGTGTCGGAGAAAGGTCTTCTGGGGTATCGTCGAGATCTCGTTGCGACCGTGACTCCTGCTTGTCTCCCTGGCTAGGTGCTGCTTGCTTTGCTTTTTTGCGTAGTGTTTTGATTATTGTTTACTATTGCGTATTGTTAGTGTTCGTTGTGATTTGGTACAGTACTTGTTACGAGATACGACACATTGTGTAGTGTGTGGTTGCAGCACGAAGAAGACTGCACACCAGAACGGTTAGCTCAGGAGCTTGGGCTTACCTTGTGCAATCACAGTTCATCAGCGTGGACATTGCGCTTGGTCCCATGCGAATAACCGACTAGAATAGTAATTATTTCTTCGTTGCATTTTTGAATTGTGTTCTTGCTAGCTCGTTGATTTATTTAGTTGATGTGTTGATTTGTGTTTGATTACTTATTTATTTGATGCGCGATTTATGTGCGCTGATTGCGTGATGGCATGCAATTATGATCATGCTTGCGCCAGCTAGCTAGATGCCTGCGCCGCGCACTGATGTTGAATGAGTTAGTATGCGCCCCGCGCTGTTCATGCATATATGGTACATGGTGTGTAATGTTTGCCGCACACGCGTATACGTGCCTCGCCTCGTACTGCTTATGTGCCGCGCGCCGTACTATTGCTGTCGCTTTGCCGCCAAATTTAGCTTCCGCTTTCCGAGCGCTGTACGCTCTTCTGTACGCTCATGCCAAAGTTGGACGCACGTTGTGGCTGGCCAGCGCTTTACCCCTCATGCGTTGTTCTTTTCCTTGATGCTGTGGTTTGTTTTTCTTTAGTGTTCTAGAGTTCTCTTTCTGATGTAGTTCGTATTTTTTCAGTCTCTTCTTCTCAATGTATTCTACTGTTCACTGTTCATTTGCACATCTATCGTTATGCTGCTTCATTACGCGACCTGTTTTATTATTATTATTATTATTATTATTATTATTATTATTATTATTATTATTCATTATAGTCCGTAAAGAATTACGTGACCTTTTGTCTTGTGGCGTCTGTGCGATCCTGAAACTTTTGAGGTGTTAGTAGTGAACACAACACTGGCTATTGCACATTGTAGCCGCAGTGCAGCGGTGTAGTTGCTGTGCATGACTTTTGGCTTGAACTATGCATGCAAGACACATGCACAAACACAACTGAAATCCATATGCATTATATTATGCAAATGCATATCTGCAATACTTTTCTGTCATTTTGATATACAGTCAACTTCGCTAATAACGACTGCGGATATAACGACAATTCGCGAATAATGACATAATTTCCATGTCCAGAGCAAAGTCCCATCCCACTGTAATACATAAAATGAGACTTCGGGTATAACGACACTTTGTGAATAATGACACCTTGTTGATGCCCCGCCGAGTGTCGTTATAAGCGAAGTTGACTGTACATATTGCATACTAAATGTGAAGATCGGGTTTAGTGACAGATCGGGTATATCGACATGTACAGGTCCCTGCACGAGTACGAGGGCAGTACCGCGGAATCCAGCCCGCGCCGCGATAGCGGCAAGGGCTGGATGAGCAGCGGTACTGGCCGAGTATGAGTGACTGGAACGTGTTTCCCGTATGCACCCAAGCCAAGAAGATCACTCACAATCTTTGCGTTTACATGAACCATTCTGTGTCTCAAGTCCTGTATGAGGCTGTGAGCTGAGTGAGAGTGACTTCGACAACCGACGTACACGGACTACAGTACATGACTTTTGCATGTACTTTCAGACCACAAAAGCTTGTCATTGAAATGGTAGACTCATGAGTGGATTCTGTCCACTGCCCGTCGTCAAGTGACAACGGGCAGTGGATTCCGTCCACTGCCCGTCTTCACTTGACGACGGACAGTGGAACTAGTACCATCACCATTCAGCTGGTAGGATCGTGCTTTCCAGCCCGCATAATTTGATCTGTCATTGGTCGACTCCAAGGCGACAGTCATGTGACATACGGGAATTTGTTTTCTCCCGAAGGAGTGGCGTAATATCCAATCTCCACTGTATTTCAACTAAAGGCATTTCATTCGAATACCTTTTTCCGACAAAGATCTAGCTAGTCATTAGTCCTATTGCAAGAGGAAGGTGGAAAGGTGATTGCTTGTCATTAATGATGGGGCTAAATTGGTCAAATGCGCATGTACAGCACACAATGAACACCCAACCGGGTATGTACACACCTACGGCCCTAGTACAGAACTTTGTACATATGTACAACGTGCATAAGGACTGTAGTGACACTGACATAGGAACACCAGAACAGTGAGTGGCAGTTGGGATCCTACACAAAGTACATAGGCAACATGACTGTGACATAGTATTGCAGTCTTCCTGTCTAAGCTATTGTTTGGGGAGAGCAAGGAGAGCTAGGCATGCTTTGACCCATATCACAGCGGCACCTGCTCCTGCAGCGCCCATTCTCCAATGCGGCACTTGTCGCCTGGACACAACAAAATCCCCTCCTTCGAAGGCAAACTCACCTTTTAAAACTGTGTGTTGACTGGTGTGAGTACTGCCGCACAGGTAATGCATGTGCATGACGACTCTTCACAGTCGGATCTCACCCACCCGAGACCTCACCTGCCCCAGACCTACCCGAAAGTTCACCTACTCCGTATCCTCACAAGCCAGCACTCAGTGTGAAATGTCTTGGGGCAAGTGTACAGCAAACACATTGACTTCTGGGCAAATGTTTTCGATCATCTGGCTTCTGCACCTCTGCGGCCATTTATGTTTTCGATATTTTGCTGTCAGCATGATTGGTATTTGCTGGCAGGCCAATGTGTGCAGCCCATAGAGCATGGTACCCTGCTCTGCTTGCTACTACACCATGCTAGGGCACAATCAGTCTCTCTTATGCACACTTTTTCAAGAGGTATGATACTATCCAGTTACGGCCCGATTGATCAGTCCGGAGTAATGAAACACAGAAAATCTCACTCGGCAAGTTGCAACGCATCATCATCGCCACCATCGGCATTACCGGAGACTGTCATCAGATCTTTTAAAAACACACAATACAACATTGCAATGCGGAGCCGGCATGGTTTCACCACAGGGTGCTAGGAATGCTCAGTACACCCATACTGAAAGAAGCAGGCTAGCCTAATCAGAGCAGTTTACACCTACAGTAGGGACTTCAATCGAAAACCAAATTCGCGAATTTCGCATAAAACGCTAGTATTTCTAAACCGGGAAGATGTGAGAAACAACCTGTGAAAATTTGAACCCAAAATTCCAAGGCGATCTAGAGTTATAGTCGATTGAAGATCAGAAAACGGGGGAGGAAATAGTCACAGAAGTTAATGCAAGTATGTATGTGAGCCGTGTGGTTCCGTCCAGCGCTGCACTATCTGGTGCATACATGGCGATACAGGATGTGTGCATGCATGCAGTGTGCACGAATGCTGTGCATGCCTACTTGCAACAAGTCACACGTTTTCGCCGTCACTGCTTCTACAGCGTGCGCGCAGTTTACTCGATATTTTTCGTCTACCACCAGGAAATCGCCGTGGGCTGGTTTCTGTGATCATTTTCCTTCTACCGCGATAATGCGCGAGCCTAGCTGTTCTAGAATCCTCTTGGTTTAGGCTAATTCGAGGCCGCTGAACACGAAGATCGGGTGTTCCTCGCGGGGCCGAGAACGGATCTGGTCGAAATTAGTACTTCGAAGTGCATCCGTGCCGGAGGCATGATTTTTGGAAGCATGGCATGTGTGGCACCATTGGAAAGGTAATGACCTCAGCTACCTAAAAATAGCATCGACAAGGCCGAAAAGGCCGCGGGAGAAGATACTGGGGCCTCGAACTGCATCTCGAACTGCAGCCACGAGGCGCCCATTAACTTTGTACAGGCGAGCTGTGACTGCATTTTTCGCTTTTCAGTGACCGGAACTGAACTCCCTACCTATAGAGAGTGGTGTTCACATCTAGCACATGATCATACACAGCCATGCTGGTTCCAACTCCACACAAACCCGGCATGCATGGGTCACGTGATGTCAGCCCTAGTGTTGGACTGTTGGAGTGTTGGTCCCACTGTCCACATGACCTGATCGCTTCCTACACACATTTAGTCACATGACAAACTGATGTGAACACCACACTATAGCATGTGGAGAACTAAGTTCCTTACCAGTCTGGATTATGGATACCCCAGCAGAGATTATGTCCACGGACAGTCTGCTGATTGGCCTCAGCCATGGCGAGGACAAAGTCGCAATCCGTGAAGTCGAATGTTTCCTCATTGGGTCGAATTGCAGTCCTGTAGCATACGACGTGGAGGAATGGTCAGTGGTGATCACTAACTCTCCAATACACGGTCATAATCCCAACCACTACAAAACGTGCAGAGTGGCTGAAGCCAACGCATTTTTGCTTCTAAAAATAATAATTGTTTTCAATGCACAAGTCAACTGGTAAAAGCACTAGTAACTTACTTCGCGGCACATGGGTTGTAAGTAGTTATAATAACTACACGTACTTGCAATCATACAGCCATCAAATGCATCGGTTCCCCACCCATCAAGGCATTCGCCATTCACAGCACACAGTGTGTTACTACTCCGCGGCAAGGAGATTGAACTCTGAACTCACCACTTGCACGCATTCTCCGGTGTCACCAGCGAGAACTGCTCATTCAGTATCCGAACATATTCCTTGTCGCGACGGATGTACTGAGCGTTCGAGGCTGTTCCGATAAAGACATCGAATTTCCTCGCCAAATCCTTCAGGCGGACAAGGGAGGCATCAGGGCTGAATGGAGTGTTGTGTGAAGGTTGCGCCGCCTCGCTGTATCGGTGCTGACCGAAGGCAGCGCCATGTTGAGTGGCCAGGAAAATGCCTGCTAAGACCAACCCTTCGAAATTCATCGTACGGCAAGACGCAGTGTAGACCATCAACGTCCGATGCGAACTCTTCCAGCACAAGATCAATGTCTCATGGATATGCACTCAGCCAAACTGACCGACGAAGTTAGTTGATCCGAAAAGCCTTAGTTCGAGCATGAAGTAGTGGGAGTGAAGGCGCATGCAACACGAGGGTGTAAAGGAGTTGAAAAATACGCACAACTGAACTGCAGATAGATCTTCAGTAGAGATGCCTGCGATGATCTCTGACTCTGGTCAAGCCTCGTCCGATCATCAGCATCCCCATCGCCTGCGGATGAACGATGAGTGCACGCACGGTGTGAATCGTCGCGGTCAGTGATACTTTGTACTTCCGCTCGGCTCCACCGGTGGAAACATGCCGCAAGCCGTGTGCCGAGCCACGAACAGTGGTGAACACACTACCTTCCACCAGGTGCGTCGAATGCAGTAGATCGACGGTGTGGGTGACGGGGGTATCGGTGCTACCGCCAACATCCACGATATAGCCCCATTGTCCTCGAATGGCATCAAGAGTAGGTCGACGACAGTCACGCTAAACTGAGACTTTGAACGCCGCAGACATGTGTGAAATCAACAGCAAAACAGCCTTCACGAGCATCATGTTATCAAATGCAGAACAGTGTCAGATGTAAACCTACACCTGGACCTACTATACCATGAGTCATGATGAATAGACCATACACTCTCACCTCTTTTATTTTTGCTTGGCACTGTGCAGAATGGCTGAGTGCAAGGACTAGACTATTCGCCGAATCTGCACATGACATGTGCTTTGAGAGAACTTGTTCTAGTATCTCTTCGGTTGATGTGCTCAGCTACAATCTACTGGTACTGTTTTGTCAAGAAGTAGCGAGGATGATGGAGTCAAAACAGCCTCAACCATTGAACACAAGCAAAAGTGTTGTTTGGAGGAAGTAAATTAGTTGGTCATTGTGCAAAATGACTATGTACAGCCCTGCAGACGCGTATTTGGAGTAGGGAATGGAGAAGGTTCCGGACTCACGCCCCGGTGAGAGAAGTGCACCTGCTGTTCCCAGAACCAACCAATGGTAGTCATGATAAGTCCAGACGCAGACGCGGAAGACAATGTCATCTTGGACGAAGACATGTTTCAGCATAGGATGAGCCTCGGGGACTTTTCTTCATTTTAGAGGTCCAGAGCGTGGCCCAGTTTTCGTCTGGCGGGCATGCAAACTCCCTTGTGAAACAGACTGTACTGAAATTATTTCCTCACATGCTGCTGCTGTTTTGAATGTAAAGTAAGTTCATGTGATGCCTATAGCATCTTTATGAGGTTACGTGATTGCCACTCCAAGTCCAATGTCATGTTCCGGTTGCTAATGAGACTCAGAGTGCGAATCAACACCTTTGGCAACATACTCGTACCGCTTTCCCGTCCACTTGATGCTGCACTGACTATGACATAATCATTGTATTGATGATGATCATTATCCCAGGGTGACCACCACCATTCTTTTTCCGCATCTTGTTCTCTCTCTCTCTTTCTTTCTCCGCGCTTGTGTGAACAGAGTAATGCCATGATGAGAATTTTAGCAGGCATGCAGTAACGCGCTAAGCACGGTGGCGTTCCATGATCAGTACCGGTATTTCCATGAACCAGGGAGTCGTAAAATACCGGTATTTTACGACTCCCTGCCATGAAGATGAACTAATTTCCAGCAACACAACTAGTAACGGTATCAACCCGTACTAACCGCACAGTCAATCACTTTTCATGATTATTTTCTCGAATATATTAATAGGAAGCGGATGTCTGATACCACTCATACTATCGGAGTCATAGGGAGCAACCAAGGCACGACGGCATTCATGGATGTTCCACAATTCCCAATGACTGTGACTACGTATTCATAGTTTCAGTTGAGCACACCTTATGTATGTGTCTCTGTATGATACACAGACATAACAATACATGGCATGCATCACTGGTGTAGAACTGCTATAAAAGTGGAAATCAGTCCAGGCACGTTGGACGCCACTGCTCGCAGGGCGTTAGGTAACTGTCATATTCCCCAATTATCTGCCGTTCAACACCGGGCTAACACCCACTCTCTCAGTATGTGCTGTGGAGGTGTTACACTCAGTGCCGAATTCACAACCGTAATAAGTTTGAGGAAAGTAACTTAGATCTTTGTCGTGTACTGACGTGTGAAAGAATAGAAAAAAGATGAGAGAAGTTGTGAACGTGGAAGTTACAATGGTGATATGAGCAACAGCAAACAAAGAGTGAGAGAAAATCATTCCGTTCATTTTGCTAGTTATCTACTTGTATGGTACACTTCAAAACACATTATCATAGTTCATCAGTCTGTGTTGTATTGAGCGTATCAAGCACCGCATAGAAGCATGGTTTGGGTTTGTAATTGTTATCGAAATAGTCTGGATGGTGCGTTGCCAGCCAAGAATACTTGTCTACGAATCCCCATGTTTCAAACGACTTGCATCTGTGCAGTAAGCAGATGTACGGACGCGTGCACTCACGCACACACACATGAACGCAAGCATGCACGCACACGTGCACACACACGCACGTACGCACACACACACACACATGCACACACATGTATGCATGCACACACACACACACACACACACACACACACACACACACACACACACACACACACACACGTGACACACACACGTGACACACACACACACACACACACACACACACACACACACACACACACACACACATATACAAGAACACAATGTACTTATAAAACGTGTGTATGTGAAGATATGCACATTTCCATATCAAAGTATGTTACAAAGATACACTTTCTTCACTATAAAGACACAACTGAGAAGAGCAATGCACCTTTCTGAGTTGTGCCTTTGTCGCGGCTTCGATGCAATATCTCCATAGTGCATATACAGCACACAGCGATGCAATATCTCCATAGTGCATATACAGCCGACACAATATGATGCACACACCACGGATTAGAGGCAGCGATGGCCTGAAATGGACGCATGCAGCGGAAAGGGGAAGAGTATATGGCCATTGGATAATCATGCTAAGCAAGGCAGATATGACGTTACAACCCAGTGGTGAGTCCAAGGGGGGGGGGGGGCTTCCGCAGAATCCCCTAAATTTTGCAAATGTACCACTGGAAACCATATGCATGTACATGTATCAGCTGTTCAGTTTTGTCTAAACTGCCCCCCCCCCCCCCCCACTGTAGGGATCTCTGAATCCACCCCTGAAACCAACTTTCAGAGAGGTGATCCACGATGCCAGTCCCGGAAACACAGCGCTCTACAGTTGTGTGTGTGTGATCCCAATGTCCACAAATGACCCATGTCGACAACCACATACAATAATAAACAAATGACTAGTATCGACAACCACATACTTAAAAAATGGGTAACAATGTTGACCGATGTCTCGTGAATTAAGAACTTACTTGGGTGCGAATTTCAAGCAAGCCTTCAGCATGTTTTGGTAAACATCTGCCTGATTTTTGAGATCTTCCTTGGAGTCGGAATTGATGCGGACATCCAGTTCCGTTATATGGATCTAAGGAAGGGGGAACAAAACACTAAGATATTGACTAAAATTGTGTATGGATCGGAAGCAACGGATAAAGCTGTTGCGCATGCCTCGACGGTACTGTGGGGAAATGAAACACAGCGTCCTGCAGCCGTGTTTGTCTGAGCCTTATGTCCACAGATGACCAGCACCAATAAGCACATGCCGACATACCATAGCTGATACGCTGTGTTGGTAAAGCTGTAGAGACACTATGATCTTGTAAGGCTGGTCAATTTCTCAATCAAGCCTTGCTGTATATATTTGTGTCATGCCAAAAAGGGGGGGTCCAATGACAGTACCGTATGCGTGCACGTATCTAGCATGCTGCATGCTGGGATCCATTGTCACTGTTCAGAATTACAAACCCGTGAGCATACTGCCGTTGTTTGAAGTAATGCACAACATGGACATGAGCATTCCATTCACATGTATCAAGACAGCCAATGCACAAACAGGTTGTGTACCTCGAGACCCAGGTCAACGAATCTCTTGATGTTATCCTCGACCTTCGACCAGTCAGATGGTGGCGCAGACAGCTTGTAGCCTGAAACCAGGCACAGGGGAAGAACAAACGCGGAGTTGAACAGGCAGCAGGGTATGATTACTGATTCTCAGAAGCGCTGTTCAACAAACTGGTGCACACCGTAGCGCTCAAACTGGCAACCTGTGCCGCTGACAGAGTGCCTGCTAACATAGAATACCAAATTACCATTCTGTGCACGGCGGCAACATTTTTGTTGTGTAACCTTATACCCCTGGAATGTTACACTGGGCTTACCATTGCTGTAGAGAACACAATCCGAGATGTGTGAATTAAATGCCCCTCCAATTTCGTCAGTACATAATTATGTGTAGGCCACATTTCTTTATGATTAAGTCCATGATGCAACATCTGCCCTTCACAGCATATTTATAAGGGCATTGTCCATATGACATATCCAGTTGCAGATGATAGACTAGACTGTCGGCTTTCCCGAAGCTCTCTTGGGATTTTCTTACAGCTGAAACGTCAGTAACATGTAGAGTGATTCTTGGAAACTCCTTACCATAAATGCCCTGCTCCTGTTTGTCGATGTCTTTAAAACCACTCAATGAAAAGTGAGCTTGTATGCCGAAGCCATGAAGTGGAACTTTGTTCTCCAGCATGGTTTTCAGCATCTGATAGATGGCATCAGACTTTGGGTTGATACTTGCAGTATTGTAGTCATTGTACTGCAGGACACAAGTGATAGAGATGACGACAAATAACAGTTAGGGCTACAGAAAAGGTGCAGCCTGATTGGCAACAGACAGTTACTACCTCTGTGGCTTGTGCAGTCGTGTAGTGCCCAGTGGCTGCATCAGTTCTGTACCACTGGCAGCAGTCACAGAAGGAGCACTCTAATGTCACGAGTGTGTGTGTGTGTGTACGCGCGTGCGCGCGGGTGCGCGCGTGCGCCACATCAATGAGCTGTGTGGTGGATATCAGGCTAAAGTTAGTGGCGGTCAATTCATCAGCCTTGCAAGCTGTTGAACGCCAATGGTGTATTCCCAGCGCAAGTTGCTATGTCTAACATACAAGTAGCTGTTCGCTATGACTGCTTCCGAGATGGGCAGGTCTGAGGTCTGAGGTGTGTGTGTGTGTGTGTGTGTGTGTGTGTGTGTGTGTATGTGTGTGTGCATGTGCATGTGTGTGTGTGTGTGTGTGTGTGTGTGTGTATGTGTGTGTGTGTATGTGTGTGTGTGTGTGTGTGTGCATGTGTGTGTGTGTGTATGTGTGTGTGTGTCCCCTCCGCGTGACATAGTGTCGGCAGCAGCGGGGGTGAAGGAGCCTGCCCCGAAGACGATTGTGTGCCCCGTTTGCGGCCGCCTGTTTCGTCGGCGCGCCGACATGGCCCGGCACAAGTGCACAGCAGTCCGACAGCTCCCCGTATCACAGCAGCCTGGGTCGGTGCAGTGTCCTGCCTGCAGTAGATGGCTCCGGAGCAGGGGTGGGCTTGCAGTGCATAAGTGCCTAGGGAGTGACAACTGTGACGACCGACCGCCTTTTGATGCTCCTCCTGTTGCCGAGGTCCCGGTGTGTACTGCCTGCCAGCGTACTTTCAAGTCTACTGCTGGCCTCAAGTGCCATCGCTGTGGACCCCGCCCGAAGCGCCCTACAGTGACTGATCGCCAGCACTTTGAACATCATTGCCGAGTCTGTAGTCAACGCCAGTTTCGGAGGCGACAGGACCTGGAGCGCCATTTGAAGCACTGCCTACCTCTCCCCTAACCTCTCTGACAGTACCTCCCTTTGGGGAGCGGCGTGGCCATTTCTGGCAGCTGTCAATAGTAGTAGTAGTAGTGTGTGTGTGTGTGTGTGTGTGTGTGCGTGCGTGCGTGCGTGCGTGTGTGTGTGTGTGTGTGTGTGTGTGTGTGTATGTGTGTAATCTGTAGTTTCATATACATAATACAGCTGAGCTGCTCCAATGTACAATACTTCACTATCAGGCAACAGGAATATATTCCAACAATTCAGGAAGACATTGAAGGCTCTGATCATGCTGGTAGAGGCTCGATCCAGTTGCAACACACTGCTGGTCACAACCTGGAGCACTTACAAATAGTTTGACTTGGCTATCCGCTGCACTGGCTGCTTTGAATGCTGCGTCAATGTAATCCTTTACTGCCGCCATCAAGAGGCAAAATAGCAAAGAAAGAGAACTTCCTCTCAACAGGTCAATTGGCAACACTATAGTTCTTTGTGATTGTCTTAGTTCAATATAGCATACATACATACATGTACATAGCTGGGATCAACGGATTTGGTTTTACTGTACATACATACATGTACACATAGTACATCATAGCATGTACTGGCATCACACCGTGACACTGCCAGTATTGATACGTATGATGTAACAGTGGGAGCTGGGTATGGTTTCAAGTGTTTCCAGCAATTAGGCAGGCTAGCAATGCCATCCTATCGCGGCACCCGATTGGTGCTGATACTGAAGTGCTGACACAGGGCTTGAAGGTGATACCACATCCCAATCCTGTGGAAAATATGGCAAATGTACGGATTTCGGTTTTGCATGGGTCATACTTCTGTATGAATGGACACACCCTTCGAAGTGCGTAGACCAATGTGTGACGGTACTGCAATAGGGTGCCATGCAGCCAGCCTCTTGGACGGGACAATGGAGTGAGTCGCCCACCAGTCATAAGAAATATAGCAGGGATGGACTCAGTCCTGCACCACGTATCTACCATAGCTCCATACAAACACAGTGGAAAAAGTGAAATCATGAATTTGGCCAAAACACCACAGTTTAGGTCGTTCTCTCTCACACCTCACATTTGCAACAGCAAAACCACAGTGCAGGGTCGGCTGCGGACAGCCACATTGCAAGCAAGACGAAGTTCGAAAGAACATTGCTTCTCGTTTCTTTCGAATGCTCAGCCAATGAGAAGCGTACACACTTGTGATGTAATCCTATAAAAGTTCTAAGTGTGATTACAGACGGGCAAGCAATGGCTTGTTGGTACATGGTTGGCATTCTACATAATGTGAAGAGAATGGAGCCAGCCACACTCAGAGCTCTCTTATCCGGACTTACGTGCACCTTGGTCTGCCGGGCGTCCTGGAGGTGAATATTTGGGGAAAACTACTACATGTACTCGTTTGCCAATTTTTGTTGGAATAGTGACGTCATATACATGTGCCAGATCTCTGACCCTTCCCCATTGGAACATATGCGATTGCAGAGCAGCAGCAGCAGAGCTTCGGATATATCGAGGTTATGGGCAGTGCCCGATCCCAGACCGCTCGGATAAGAGATGTGAGCGTATTGTGTATCAGTTGTATTGTCTTTTATTGTCTTTCCCATGTGAAAGTTGTACACTTCTTTGATCACAGTTCACACTAGGAGATAACAGGGCTGGAAAGAAGGAAGCCTAGCATTGTAGAGAGGGTTACACGCATGGTTGTGTTATGACTCATGATCCTCTACCTGCAGGGTACCAGATGTTGTTCTTCAGGAAGGATTCCTTGGATGGATTATCGGAAACGGCTTCATTGACTACATCCCACGAGTACATTCGGTTCATGTAGTGTTCAGTCACATTGGTCACGTGATCTGTGAGCAGCTTGCGCAGAGCAGTGCCATTGTGAGCAAACTTGTTCAGCCTGGGAGTAACGTTAGATAGACAGCCGAAAACACAAACTGAGAATATGGCAGCAACAAAACAGCGGGTTGTAGGACAGTTGCCAGTCCTGTCCTCGTTTGATAAGGTATAATTATCACAGTGCTAATGAGAGAACTGGGTTTCCAACTGATTACTAACTAATCGAAGTAGTCCTCACAGGAGCCAACTATGCATAGAGCTGTGCTGCTCTTAGACGTGATTTTTCTAGGTTTCAATTTCACAACAGTGATGATAATGATTTACCCCCCCCCCCCCCCCCTCTCTCTCTCTCTGATGCTCACTACAGTGTTGGTTAGATATCATGGCTCTGCATAACTCTCATTTTCTCACGGCTCCGCATAACTCTCATTCGTTGATTCATGATAAAATATAATTGCCAAATCATCCGGTACAAGCAATTGCAGTTGTACTAGGTGAAATCCCACTCAAAGTCAGCAAGGCTAGCGCCTGGAATCAGTTCCCATTGCATCCCTATAGTATCTGTACCGTGTACATGCGTATGTCCAACAGCATTCCGGCGTAGATCTACTGTGTGCTTACAGGGCATTATGGGGGGGGGGGGGAGAGGCGAGTGCAAATCCGGGACAAACAAACATGCCGCTGATTGGGTGGGATTTCACCCACTGCACATTGTGGACTGGAGTACATGATTATCGCATGGTAGCAAGAACATTGCAGCATGCTAACCGTTCAAAGGGGAATACGCCATGCTGCATATCAGCTCATTTCTGAGCTCCGAGTGTAGTCTGTACCTATGCGGTCTTACCATCCAGGGTTGTAGACTCCCCAGCATAGGTTGTGGCCACGTACAGTCTGGTTGTTACTCTCTGCCGTGCTCACCACCAGATCACAGTCCTTGTAGTCGTATGTACTCTCGCTGGGACGAATGGAACCCCTGCATACACACACACACACACACACACACACACACACACACACACACACACACACACACACACACACCATTGGACCATTGGACGCCCATCGCCGGAGGCGATGATAGCGATGCTACAGCAGAAGCCATAGCAACTTGTGCTGGGATTGCAACATTCAACAGCTTGCAAGGCTGAAGAATTGACCGCCACTATTCAGCCTGGTCTACACCACACAGCTATGAAGTGGCTTTTTCTGGCCAGTGAATCCCTACTTTTGGTCTACACACACACACACACACACACACACACACACACACACACACACACACACACACACACACACACACACACACACACACACACACACACACGCACACGCACACACATATATTATTATTATTTTCGCTCCTGCTCTTGTAGTAGTTGAGTACTCTCATGTGGGGTAGTGCCTTTGCTGTTTGCATTACGCAGAGCTCACTAACTTGTCAGTTTGAGCACTCTGGCAAGGTACGTTCGGGCCTGATTGGAAATTTTTATTTTCATTGCTATCAGGTTCGGCCTCATTTCCTCTGTGCTGCGCTGATGAGTACACAAAGAACGAAACAGCATGCTGTCCGCAGATTGAGTATTATAATATATATATATATATATATATATATATATATTAACTGGTTTTGAGGGAAAGAGACAAACGGGAAAGTCTGAAGAAAAAATTGACTGTCACCACCAGGACTCGAACCAGGGACCCTCGCTTGTAGCCAGCGATGCTCTAACCACTGAGCTATGGTGTAGTCGTCATCCAAGCAGAGACCGTTCAACGTTTTCTTCAGACTTCGTAACTCACACTTCCTGTGAATCCACACAGGCGGGTGGGACGCAGCCCTCACTGTACCCACACTATATGTAACATGTATGGCTGTCTGCAATCTCATGTTTATATCCATATGATGCGCAGTTTCATTTATATGCCTTATTAGCTACATACGTTCGTTGCAGGTTTTGGGTTCTGCATTTTTGGGTTCAAATCTCGCAATGTACTTTTTTTCTGTTTATCTCTTTTTTTCTTGAGTCTATGAGCATGCGCACTGAGAGAGAGGATGTTGATTTTGAGAGAGACGAAGTTTCCTTTTACTTGTGGGATTTTGTCTTTGCTTCTGGAGTGAATTGTAATTCTTTTCTTTGACTTCTGTGGAAATAAATAATCCTTAGTAATCCTGCAAGCAAGCAGGTTACATCTGGTGGCAGCGGTAAAGTAGTTTTGTCAGGCTCTTTCGAATTTGGAAGTGGCTGAAAAATAAATAAAATTTCGAAAATCAGTCACAGAGCAGTATAGCATAATGGCTCATCGTGGTGCTCGTGGTGCTCAGGCACAAGCAGCTGCAGCAGTAGTACCTCCACCTCCACCACCACCAATGCCAGCTGCAGCAGGTGGTGTGGGAAACCGGGCAGCTGGTGTCCCTGTTCGTGCTTGGGCTACTCCCCAGAAATTTTCTGGTAACCGTGACAGCGATTGGAGGACATGGCTACTCCAGTTTCAGACAGTGGCCCGTGTAAATGGCTGGACACGGCGACAGCAGGCGGACTACATTGGCCTGTACCTGACAGACGATGCATTGTCGTATTTTCATGGTCTAGACCAAGCTGTACGGCATGGTCCTTTGGACCCGCTCCTGCAGTTACTGGAACAGCGGTTTGGAGCTGCCCAGAACGTGGAGATACATCGTGCTGAGCTGAGGTCTCGACGACAGAAATCTGGAGAACCAATTTCTGAGTACTGCGAGGCAATTCGCCGCATTGCCCGTCTGGGGTACTCGACACTTCCCCCGGATGTCCAGGACATCCTTGCCAAGGACCAGTTTATGACTGGCCTGGATAGCCGTGAACTGCGAGTAGAAGTGCGCAAACAAAACCCGGCAACATTGGATGCAGCGCTCCAGTGCGCCTTCCAGATGCAGGCCATTCAGAGCACCGAATCAGCTTCCAATGCACCGCAAGTAGTAGCAGAAGTATGTGCTGTGCAGACACCCCAGTTCTCAGCTAACATCGACCGGCTGTGCAAGCGACTGGACCAGCTGGAGGCGAGGCTGGACAACACCCAGACAGCCACACCAGCATTTCAGGCTCCGCAAGGTGGACGCCGCCGCTGTTATGTCTGTGAGAGTGTTCTGCACTTGGCAAGAGATTGCCCGCATAATGACCGCCGTCCACAGTCTGGGAGCCGCTTCAACCAGTCGGGAAACCGCCAATAGCTGTAGATGTGGGTCAATCCACAGCTGTACTACAAGACCCATTTGATCAGTCTGCATCACCGGAGTTCCGTCCCGACGGGTCAGCAGACCATACAGTGCACATTCCTGAGAGCTGCCTCACGGCAGAGGTAGAGGGCTCCAGTTATGTGAATGGGTCTGTGTGCTCGCAGCCTAAACGTATGTTGGTGGACACCGGAAGTGCAGTGACCATCATCAATCATAACTTTTACCAATCTATCGAATCGAATAATTATCCGTTACATCCAACAACATGCACCCTCCGGTCTGTAGATGGATCTTTGCTGAAGATCTATGGGGAGACCAAACTCCCATTCCGGATTGGTGGCATTGTCACGACACACAATGTCATGGTAGCTGACATTGGCCCAGATGTTCTGCTGGGACTGGACTTTCTCAAGAGCACGGAGTGTACCATTGATTTTGCAACCAGGAGCATTGGCGCCGGCGGCGTGTCAGTTCCATTGTGCTCCTCAGCCCGCAAATCAGCAGCTCCAGTGTATCGTGTGTCGCTCCAAGAGTCAGTAACTATACCTAGCTACACGCAACTGATCGTTCCTGGACACCTGCAATCGGCGTCAGAGGCACCAACGGAAGTTGGGTGGCTGAATCCATCTGACAAATTCTTGGACACATACAGCCTCGGCATGGCAGGTGTAATAGCTTCCCCGGATCTACATGGTCGTGTACCCATTCGACTGCAGAACTTTCGACCGAGACCAACAACAGTTCGCAAGGGCACTCTCCTCGGCACATTTGAGGTTGACGTCACTGTAGATGATGAGTTACCTGTCACAGCTACTGGGACAGAGGATGACTTTTCATGTGCAACCGTTGACAGCGCCACACCTCACAGCCCGAGTGACCTATTCCATCTGGATCACATTTCAGACGCCGAACGGTCTCAACTAACCAATTTGCTGAATGACAACGCTGATGTTATTTCTACGGGGAAGTTTGACCTGGGTCTATCGTCAGCAGTCCCTCACACCATCAATACCACAACAGAGCAACCACTCAAGCAACCACCGAGACGCATTCCCCTACATCAGAAAGATGAAGTACAGGAGCACGTACAGGAGCTCCTAGATAACAACATCATTGGGCCATCCAGCAGCCCATGGGCTGCCCCCATCGTCATCGTGCGCAAGCCTGATAAGTCAATCCGCCTTTGTGTGGACTATCGGCGCTTGAACTCCATCACGACTAAGGATGCATTCCCCCTGCCAAGAGTCGATGATGCACTTGATGCAGTCCATGGGGCGCGCTACTTCTCAACAATTGACCTCTCATCAGGCTACTGGCAAGTCGAACTAGACAACGCATCCAAGGTGAAGTCGGCCTTTGTCACACCCAGCGGCCTGTATCACTGGAATCGTATGCCGTTCGGACTGTGCAACGCACCAGCAACATTTCAACGTCTCATGAACAAAGTACTCGGTGACCTAGTGCCATCAGTCTGTTTAGTGTACCTGGATGATATCATCGTATTCTCCACGTCATTTGAGCAGCATCTGCAGCATCTCAACCTAGTGTTTGCACGGCTTCGGCAGGCAAATCTCAAGGTGAAGCCAGCTAAGTGTCACTTACTGCAGCCATCTGTCACATACCTGGGATTCAATCTCTCCAGAGATGGTGTGACTCCAGACGCGTCCAAGTACTCGGCAGTGAGGGACTGGCCAACGCCGGCTTCTCTTCAGGAAGTTCGTAGCTTCGTTGGATTTGCCACATACTACCGCAGATTCATCAAGAACTTCTCCACTATTGCTACGCCACTCAATCGTCTCTCTGAGAAGTATGTCATGTTTAACTGGGATGACGAGTGTCACCAGGCATTTGAGCAGCTCAAGGAGAAACTCATCTCAGCACCTGTTCTGGCTTATCCAGATCCAGCCAAGTCGTTCATATTGGATACCGATGCATCCAATATCGCTATGGGCGCAGTTCTCTCGCAGCTTGATGAAGACGGCCATGAACATGTTGTTGCATATGCCAGCAAAGCGTTAAGTAAAGCTCAGCGGAAGCAAGGTAGTACACGGAAGGAACTCTTGGCAGTCGTCACGTTCACCTCACATTTCAAGCACTACTTGCTCGGCGCCACATTCAAGCTACGCACCGATCACAGAGCTCTGATTTGGCTGCAGACATTCCGCGAATCAGATGGCTTGCTCGCTCGATGGCTAGAGCGTCTAGCAGCGTATGATTACACAGTGGAACACCGTCCAGGCAAGAACCATGTCAACGCTGATGCTCTCTCTCGCTTGCCCACCACAGATGATGCAGCTGTGGAGGTGATGGCAACTACAGTGAATAACAACCTCGATACTCTGGCAACCGCAGAGAGTAACTGGGCTGACACCTTCTCCACAGAGGAGGTCCGCAAGTCCCAAGACACCGACCCTGACATTACGAAGATCACGGGCTGGATGGAAGCATTGCTCGACCGACCAACTCGCAGTGATCCAGCTATGAAATCGGCTAGCATTGGTTTACTTCGACTATGGGGTCAATGGAAGAGATTAGAGCTAGTAGATGGTGTGCTATATCGCAAGTTCTACCCAGATGATGGACAACCAGTGCGCCAACTAGTTGTGCCGGAAGCTCTTCGTGGCGTCCTCCTGACAGCTCTGCATGCCGACGTCTCTGGTGGTCACCTGGGCATTGAACGCACATTGGATAAGGTACGCAAACGCTGCTACTGGCCATTCTTATCGGCTGATGTGAAGGATTTCTGCAATGCCTGTTCCGTATGCCAGAGCCGGAAAGCACCGGTACCAAGTCCGCGAGCCCCTCTCGTACAAGATCAGCCAACGTTTCCCTTGGAACGAATCGCTATCGACATTATGGGCCCATTACCGCAATCTGCTCGTGGTAATCGCTACATCGTGGTCATTTGTGACTACTTTACGAAGTGGACAGAGGCATTCCCAATCCCAAACATCTTAGCTGAAACAGTAGCCACGGTTCTGGTGGATGGTTTCTTCTGCCGTTATGGCGTGTCGTATCATCTACACTCTGATCGGGGTGCTCAGTTTGAATCGAAATTGTTCCAACATCTCTGCAAACTGGTTGATTTGCACAAGACGCGTACCACGGCATATCGACCACAGAGCGACGGGTTGGTGGAACGAATGAATCGCACCCTAGAGAACATGCTGTCGGCCCATGTCAACCAGTATCACACCAATTGGGATGAGCATCTACAACGCTGCCTCTTGGCCTACCGATCTAGTGTCCATTCGTCAACTAAGCAGACCCCCGCCATGATGATGTTTGGCCGGGAGTTGATACTGCCGGTGGATCTGATGTTCTCAACTCCGTCAGATGCAACATCGGGTGTACCAGAGTATGTTGCGAAGTTGAAGCAGTCACTGCAGACTGCTTATGATCATGCTAGGATTGCGGGTGCTGAAGCTCAACGACGGCAGAAGTCTATCTATGACAAAAGATCAACGCAGCCGGCATTTGCTCTGGGTGACCATGTCTTCCTGCATCATCCCGCTGTGAAGCCCGGCACGACTCCAAAATTCCACCGCCCCTGGAGAGGACCATTCGTCATTGTACGACGAATCGATGATGTCCTCGTGCAGATCACGAATGAGAAGGGCGATATCCAGACCGTTCACACCGATCGTGTGAAACATGCCAAGTCCGTTCCAGCCCCTGACCGCGCCGTGCCTGCTACAGATGTCGCCGTAGATCCGCCGTTGCCTGCAAGCATGGAACCGATGATTGACTACTGTGTGGATGACAATCCCCAGCCACTACCCCAGCCTGCACAACCTGCACAGCCAGTGCCACAAGTGTACGTACTGCGCAACAGGCAGGACATCCGCTTGCCAGTTCGATACCGACAACCGTAAACGTGGTCTCTCAGGTAACTCAGTGTTTGTTTTGGCAAGTACTCGAATACCAGTACTGGTGATACCTGTTCATACCCTTGTTGGTGTGGACTGAACCTTGAACTATAATTTCCGTGTAATTATTTATGTTAACGATGGACATGATATGATACGATCTGCCTCCTTGCTGCTAGAATTGTGGTTTGTTTCCAGGTATAGTTGATGACACTTTCTGTACATACTGATGTTCTCCCCTGTCTTTGTTTGTTTGGTATTGCCGGTCCTCTTGTGGGAGGGGGAGGTGTAACATGTATGGCTGTCTGCAATCTCATGTTTATATCCATATGATGCGCAGTTTCATTTATATGCCTTATTAGCTACATACGTTCGTTGCAGGTTTTGGGTTCTGCATTTTTGGGTTCAAATCTCGCAATGTACTTTTTTTCTGTTTATCTCTTTTTTTCTTGAGTCTATGAGCATGCGCACTGAGAGAGAGGATGTTGATTTTGAGAGAGACGAAGTTTCCTTTTACTTGTGGGATTTTGTCTTTGCTTCTGGAGTGAATTGTAATTCTTTTCTTTGACTTCTGTGGAAATAAATAATCCTTAGTAATCCTGCAAGCAAGCAGGTTACATATATATACACACCCACAAGCGTAGATCTACAAGTAACTTGTTAGGCCATTTGCGGCGTGGTGCTGTGCGCAACATCATGCACGTCATGTACTGCTGATGTTATTGTCATTGATGCGAGGCAATGGACAGTTTGATTCTTTGAACTAACACACTACTTAGTAGTTACTTACCATTTACACGCATTTTCTGGTGTAGTGAGAGAGAATTGATCAGCTAGCACTGCATCATACTCCTTGTCCTCGCCCTGAATGTGGCCAGCATTGGATGCTGTGCCCACGAAAATCCCGTGCTTCGCGGCGAAGTCTTTGAGATGAGGAACCGTGAAATCGTGCAGCCACGAATCGTCTCCTGTATTCTTCTCTTGCCTGTGAAAACGTCCCGGACTGACACCACCACAGAATGCACCGGTAAATACTAGTGATAGCAGCAGCACAATGTAGTGCACTCTCCACGGCACGAATCTCATCTTGGCTACAATTGCAGGTGGGATAAAAGCAGCAGATCGCGAAAAGCTGGTGGTCGGTCAGAGCAATAGTCACCTACATGCAGTGGCACTGGTTATAATTATGTCTCTCACCCTACGCTGGGAGCGAAATTCAAAGGAATGGCGTGGAAATAGCGACCTCTGTTCTGTGCTGCCCCGCTACGCTGATATTATTTTTGGTACAGATAAGAGTCCAAACATCCCTTGTAGGTGACAGAAGACTAAACATCTCAGCTCCCAAAGTTTACCCCAGCGCGTAATTCATGCGTTGTTCGGTCAGTTAGGGACGTGACATTTCGTCACGGGACTCACCGACACGAGCCATCTCGAGGTGCATGTGGAATACTTGCTGCATGCCACACTGCTCTTTATGTCATGAGAAAAAAGAAGAAAAAGAATGTCCATTTTAATTGAGGGAAAGGAGAAGGAAAAGTCTGAAGAAACAAGTGACTGTCCATGTCTCCACCAGAACTCGAGCCAGGGACCTTGGCTTGAGGCCAGCGATGCTCTAACCACTGAGCTGGTTTTTACCGGCAGCAGTGGGCAGCAGCCTAGCCGGACGTGGTTGTACGCTGTCGAAATGATGTCCTTCCGCACACCACCAGCGCGAAATACCTCGGCGTCTTGACCGATGAACGAATGGCCTGGCAACCGCAAGTAAGTTGACCGGCGCAACTCACGCACTGCTAGGAAGATCGGTAGTATGCGGCGGGCGCGACGCTGCCTCACTCTATCTAGTCGAAGCAAGTATTAGTTGTAGTACTTCCTATCTGTCATCATGCCGGATTAGATAATTATATGGATCGTCAGCATATGGCTCCGGCTTGACCCACAGCCAGCTAAACCGCTTACAGGTACTAGGTGGCCCAAAACCGCGCAGCAAGGGCGATGTTCGGACGACCACAATTTACCAGGGCCAGTGACCTCTTGGAGAGGCTCTCTGTTTACCGCGTGGACGAGGTATATCGCCAGAAACTGCTCGTGCTGGTATGGCGGTGCGTTCATAACCGTGCCAGTCCTGCTCTGCAGGCACTGTTTGTTCGCAACTGCAGAGCAACTCGCCTTCAGCGCAGTCTGGGCCTACAACAACCAACAACCAATAGCCAGAAGCCGAGCAGGCCAATGCCGACCGGCATCTCGCGGTTGCCTGTTATGGAACCATATACCTGACACGGTGCGAGCCATGGGCAACATCCCAGCATTCCGCCGAGCTGCCATTCCATACACGTTGTAGACTGCTACACAGTTGGCCATACCATAGTATTCAGTACCCACGAACTTTGCAAAGCCGATAATGTGATAATGTACCGTGGACGTGGTGCATGCACCGATGGTACCACCACTTCATAGACTGCCTCCCGTTCATTTCTGTGCTCCTGTCTTTATTCTCGTCAGCTGTGTACTTCAGCACTGAGTTAAATTCTGCGCTCCAGTCCTCTTTATTCTCGTGAGTTGTGTACTTGTTTTGCTGCTTGTTTGGTTTATTTTAATTCGCACAGTAACCGTGTACTTCAGCTATTCTCTCCTCCCTCTTCTGAGTTTGACTCTCCGCTGGCCTTCTCTCCTCCCATCCCCTTTCATTGTATTGGGCCTCCGCAGCCCCCCCCCCCCACCACCACCACACGCACACACTACATTGTCACATAGCACAACTCAACCATTCGCTACCCTGTTATTGAGCACTCCTGCTCGTTTGGTCTCGTGAATCCAAATAAAATCAATCAATCAATCAATCAGCTATGGGGGAGTATGGTGCAGCTGTCAACTTCCATCAGAGACCGCTCAGCATTAATTTTTCTTTGGACTTCCCTCAGCAATGTTGAAAATTCTGTCGATAGAGCAACGAGGCACGCGGATTGGTCTGAGAGGTGGTGATGCTACGTCGTCGTATTTAATAAATTGAGAAAACAATGGTAAGCGAAGAGTTCGAGAAGGAAAATAAATTGCTTCATTCTTCCTCCGAATAGGAAAACAACTTTACTTCCCCCAAAGCCTGCTGCTCCATCAGCATGTGGCCATCGGAATGCTGCGTCAGATTGAACTTTGACCCTTGGACTGGTTGGAGACGCAGCAGCCGGTATGACGCTAGGTCTTAGATTGGCCAGCTTGCTAGTGCTACTTCGAGACGGCAGGCGCTAGGCTTCTATCCGTCCTCGAAACCATCCATGGCATTTTTTTTATTTTTTTTTATCACATTGCACATACCTACGGAAGAAGGGGAGACAAAACGAAGACGAAACAAAAAAGACAACAATGGGTCATGGGTATGGATTAGTACCAGCTCGTTGATACAATCATGATGGTATCTACCCTGGACCAGAAACTACGTCAACTGGCTTCACATCTACCGCACCAGAATGAGAACGAGATCGACTTGAATGAAGCAGGATCGCCAGGTCTGAGGATCTCGCCTGGGAGTCCACAAGCATTTCTGGAGACGTCTGGACGGAGTGTATGTGTTTGTGATTGGCGGTTGGGTGACAGGGTCGGATCAACCAAGCAAAATGCAAGCAATATTGAAAAATCTACAACAAACAACAACAACAGCAACAACAACAACAACCTGCTGGTTAACACAAAGAAAACAGTCATCCTCCCGTTCTACCACAATAACCGCCCCCGCCCCCCTGAACAGCTACCCCAGATCACCCTCAGGAACAGTCTGCTTACCGTAACACAAAAACACAAACACCTCGGAATAATCTTTCAGCATGACCTCCGTTGGACGGAGCATGTTGAATACATAGTCAAAAAATCACTCAAGTCTTTTAATATTCTTTTTAGACTAAGGTCTACACTCACCAGTGATTCTTTATCTCACATCTATCAGACATACATACTACCTATATTCTCATAATATGCGAGCAATGCTCTCACACCGTTGTCACACACTTCCCTTGACAGGCTAGAACGACTCCAGCGGAAAGCCGCCAGAATATGTCTCCACCTTCCCCTTTACACACACTTAGAACACTCCCACCTTTTGCATCGCATCAAATGGCCAACATTATTGTCACGCTTTAAAGTTAAACATAATTATACTCTTCGCGCATTCTCTGCGCCACAATTATGCCCCACCATATAATTATACTCCCGATGCATACTGCTAGCAACGTGCAACCTTCGTATAATCTACGTCGCTCTCGTGCTTGGCACTTGCCAACTCCGCGGACTGACCGCTGTCTCCCCTGTACAAGGCCCTTCTTGCCCACCCAGCTTCGCGAAATCCCTTCTCGTACTCCCTTCAAATCCCAGATATCCCTGCTGTTGCACAACTCTGTATGCTCGTGTATTATTATTATATTATTATTATTTAAAGAGTCGGCGTGGAGAAAGCAATTTTATTAGTGCAATTAGGAGTATAATCGATGCAGACATGGCCAGACAACAACGAGTTCATGGAATTTTTAAGGATTTTTATGTTATTCAAAATCGATTTTCGTGTTCCGCTCATCAGTGAATAGTATCGGAACTGAGGGTACTGTGTACAACAATAGAACATTTTATAACAGCATAATTAATTAAAAGTGTGAACAACAAAGGAAGTGCTACAGCATTACATAATAGGTGTCAAACATAGTGCTAACGTATATAACTGAGTGCAGCCACAAAGCAAGAGGTGATACAGTGCAACATGACACAACATTTACATCTGATAACCAGCTACGAGAACAACTTTAGCGCGACTACATGCTTCTTTTGTTTACAAAGAACAGGATTATGCACACGAATACATACAGCTTCCAGAACCTTCAACTGCTTAACATAACTTGCACGGCACAAAACAGAAAAGTGAGAATCATCGTACACACCAAGACAATCTGGACGTGATAACAAGTGACAAAATACAGCTGACTTTTTGCTCACGTCGCTCTCTTCCGTCTCATCCCGCTCCTTTCCTTCGACCTCCTCCGCCTTATCCTCGTCCTCCGTCTCATCTTCATCATCTCTTGCTTTGTGGCTGCACTCAGTTATATACGTTAGCACTATGTTTGACACCTATTATGTAATGCTGTAGCACTTCCTTTGTTGTTCACACTTTTAATTAATTATGCTGTTATAAAATGTTCTATTGTTGTACACAGTACCCTCAGTTCCGATACTATTCACTGATGAGCGGAACACGAAAATCGATTTTGAATAACATAAAAATCCTTAAAAATTCCATGAACTCGTTGTTGTCTGGCCATGTCTGCATCGATTATACTCCTAATTGCATTATTATTATTTATTCTTCTTTTACTAGGGAATTCCCAACAGGCGTCAGCGCCTTTTTACAGGGAACCCTAGGCATAATTTGATGGATGAGCGAAATTCAGCTGGTGAAGTAGACATGCGGCAAGCCGGTGGAAGTGTATTCCACCTGGCAGCGCCCAAATAAGAAATTGCACTAAAGCCATAATTATCGGGTGTTAGCGGGGGGGGGGGGGGGGCAGAACAAGAGCAGCAGAGACTTGGCCACGGGTGGTGGCTGCAGTGCGAGCACGCGCAAGGTAAAGCGGTCTCGCAGAAGAGGACTAGCAAGTCCATTCAGGCAGCGGTAAACAAAATAATACATAGGTTTTGAAGCTAAGGCGTTTCTCAAGGGCGTACAAGTTAGTATGACTGTAAAGAAGAGTGGTGGGAGTCATTCTATCCAACGAAAATATTCTCTTTAATGCTACGCGGCTGGCAGTAAGAAGCTTGTCATAGGGTTTGTGATAAGCAATGAATATATGCAGTGCTGCCAAACTCAAATGTGGACTGAATGATCGATAAATAGAAAAGTCGTTTGCCAAAAATGCTGATATTCTGCTTTGCATGGACAAATGCTCCGACCTTCCTATTGACATTTGCACATACTGCATCCACTTGGGTTGAGAAAGACAGATGTTCGTCAACCAGTATTCCTAAGTACCGAGCGTAAGCAGATGGGACTATGGAAGTGCCCCGGCAGTTGACTGCGGTGCCAGGTGGCAGCTCCGTGCCCGGTCGCCTGAGCAGGACAAACTGAGTCTTGGACGGGTTTAACACCAGTCCCTTCTGATCCAGGTAGCGATCCAGAGCGGCAAGGTCAGCACTCAGCTGGGTTGTGATGATCTGGATGGACTTCTGCCTGATATAGAGTGTGATATCATCGGCATAAAGTTGATTCAATGCATGTTGAAAGCACTAGCTGTGGTGCATCACGGGTGTAAATGCAAAATAGCAATGGGCCGTGTAGCGAGTCTCTACTAGCGACCACCCCTGCCCGTACACTTAAGTACACAACTTTGTATGCTCGTGTAGCGACCACCCCTGCCCGTACACTTAAGAATAAAGTTGAAGACACCACTGCAGCTGTACTTATGGTTGATAAATATGGTGGTAAAGACACACCTGGCAATATGGCGGTAAACACACGCCTGCCCACACACGCTCTCATATTGCCAGGTGTGTCTTTACCACCATGTTTATCAACCATAAGTACAGCTGCAGTGGTGTCTTCAACTAACTTTATTCTCCCGAGTCAAGCTCCGTATGAAGACATCCAAGAAGAAGATTGCCTGATGAGTCCAGCGGGGACGAAACGTACGTCGCAATCGAGCTATGTCGTTGCTGTGTCAGCATCTATGTGCCATGCGCTACTTGATGTACCAGCCTGCTATGCCGGATACTGCCAGCCATGCATCGACCAGGCGCCAGGCGCGAACTGATGGTGGTGGTGGTGAGAAGGAGAGCTCTGTGCCAGAACTTTGCAGCCTAGAGAGCGTGTGTGGGCAGGCGTGTGTTTACCGCCATATTGCCAGGTGTGTCTTTACCACCATATTTATCAACCATAAGTACAGCTGCAGTGGTGTCTTCAACTTTATTCTCCCGAGTCAAGCTCCGTATGAAGACATCCAAGAAGAAGATTGCCTGATGAGTCCAGCGGGGACGAAACGTACGTCGCAATCGAGCTATGTCGTTGCTGTGTCATCATCTATGTGCCATGCGCTACTTGATGTACCAGCCTGCTATGCCGGATACTGCCAGCCATGCATCGACCAGGCGCCAGGCGCGAACTGATGGTGGTGGTGGTGAGAAGGAGAGCTCTGTGCCAGAACTTTGCAGCCTAGAGAGCGTGTGTGGGCAGGCGTGTGTTTACCGCCATATTGCCAGGTGTGTCTTTACCACCATATTTATGCTACCTTAAGTAGTCATTAACCCCGTGGCCCTGCCCACCCTTCCTCACTCTTTCTCCTTTCTTACACTATTATCTCTTATTGGCCACTGGCTATCGTGAGAATAAAGATTTGAAACAACAACAACAAGCCCAAGCAGCAAGGACCGGTCCAGAACTGCAGACTGCAAGAGCCGGAGGAGCCGGAGGCGAGTGCCAGTGCGACTTCGCTGTGACTTGTGAGCGCTAGCCGCAGGCGGGTCAGGTCACCATGGTCACACTTGACTTGACACTGGCCTGAAAGGCTGAATGATAGGGGGATTCCCGATCTTGTACGACTCGTACTCGTACTGACCAGGGAGTCGTAAAATACCTTTTTACGACTCCCTGGTACTCGTACTGACGTAGATCTGTACATCATGACTGTGAACAACCGTATGGCACCCCGTCATCTTTTGTTTTGTTGAACTGCAGTGACTGGTGACCAGGTGACGTGACGGACTTGGTGGTTGTTGTACTGCCAGCATGCAGCTGGTCTCAACTCTCGGGCTTCACGAAGTTGAAGTAAAAGTAACTTAGTTCGTTGTGCTTTGTGGTTGTAATTGTGTAGGCGAAGTGCTTGAGCCAAGGCGTTCTCCAAACAGATTTCCATAGGGTTGAAATTCATGGAGTGAAGGTTGTCGGTTACCACGCGAAACATGCCTCCCACCAGGGAAATCCTCATGCACTTTGTGTCCCATGTAAAAGGGCTCACCAAAAAGAACGAGGATGGATTCGATGGTTTTGACGCAGAATACATGGTAAGAATTTGCTTTGACTTCGTAGTGTATCAGAATAGCCCGGTGTTGCTGTATGTCAGAGTCCACCTGGTTGTCGAGCTTCCAAGTCGTCGTGTAATGATTATGTGTTCCTGTACTAAATGACGGCTGTGGTACAAACAACTCCAGAGTGTCACATTTGTCTGCAGGAAATCGGACTTGCGATACTCAGTGCAAGCCAGTTCGTTTTGATTTCCGACAGTCAAGCTGTTATCTCCCCCTCCCCCGCGTACACATGGTATCGAGCTTCGCGGATCTACTTGCCGCAAATTCTTTCTTTACGGTGATACATTGTAGATTCGTACTGTTTTCTAGACAGTGTTTCAAACCTGATTACCAGGGACTACTACATGCACTGGAATGCTTTGGAGTTGTGAGATCCATTCCTACGCAGAAATCATAGGTGTCATGCAGGAGTTTCAGTGCAGTGAGTTCGCAAGTGCAGCACCTCCCCATTTCATGGTAGAATGCAAGCCTTGTACTCGTGGGGTTAGGAGTAAGATGCTGAGACAGTCCCATGGCATGGGCATTGTCAAGTAGTTGCTGAGTGTCCAGGGTCCGGAGAAGCTATTGGTTCATGTACAGTAGTCAGTACCATCATGCTATCAGTATACATTGCACACACACAGTCAGTTCCACCACGCAGTGCAGAAGTCTGAACCATGAATATTATGCGTTGAGTAAAAAGTAAAGTTTGCACGTCCGCGTTACAACCGGCTATACAGTTGTATTTGAGAAACATAACCAGCTTAGGAAGTTTCGCATGTGCCAGGCCACCACCATGCCTGTGATACCAGGGTGGCAGATGCAGCTCCTAACGGCGAGGGTGAGGTGGAAAGTCTCACAACCAATGCCCGACAAGGGGGCGAACCTCGTTAGCTGCATCCATGTTACCCTCGCTCCGAGTAGTGAGTACCCAGTTGACCGTGGGTGTCGGCGCAATTCCCTGCATGTAAAGTGGTTCACGCATGCATCATCGCATTTGTTAGCACAGTACACGCTCCCTACTCCCAGCGAGGGTCTCGAACTCGGGACCTTGTGATTCGCAGGCAAGCCCACAACCACTCGGCCAAAGCGCTGGTACATGTGTTGAGTACTCATTCCAGAAGTGGTCAACTACCACCATAGCAAACTTGCATGCAGCGAGTTCAGTGATAAAGCGAACTAGTATCCATGTTTTAGGATGGCAATAAACAGACTCAGCTGAAGCGTCATGTTACGAAGGTTTTATTGAGATGTCACGAACAAGTGGTGATGGACTGAGAAATAACTATGTCAGATGGAACTATGTCAGATGGAACTATGTCAGATGGAACTATGTCAGATGGAACTATGTAATGTGGGGAACAATAATAGGAACGATGAAAATATGAAAATGCATCGAACTAGCTTTCGCACAACGCTCATCATGAAGCATCGTTGTACTAATTAGCTGATTCTGTTTATTGCCGTCCTAAACCTTTTGTCACCTCTCCGCCTGTTCTAGTATCCATGTCTTAAAAAAATACAAAGAATAAAACTATACGCTCACTCATATCACAACCATAGCAACGAATAAAGTATTCCGGAACGTTTTTTTTCTTTATAGGGTACCTCACTTCAAACTCTCCAACTACGGTCTCTTCGCTGCATATGTTCACTTCACTTCCAAAAAAAACAAATAATATTAGATATAAATTGAATGCACCATTCAATTTATATCTAATATTATTTGTTTTTTTTGGAAGTGAAGTGAACATATGCAGCGAAGAGACCGTAGTTGGAGAGTTTGAAGTGAGGTACCCTATAATGTGTGAATGGCTGCAATGGAGTCTGCGAGTGCTTAGAAAAGTTTTTTTTCTTGTCACAATTATCAATGGAATTCGTGACTACAGTCCATTTCAAAACTATAGACGCGTAGGGTTTTTGAAATATTTCAAATTTGGCTGGACCTTTTTGAGAATAGTTTTCGGAATATTGCTCAGGACCGCTCCACAATTACTCTCATATAGTTTCTAAACGATTGGATAACAGACGCCCAATTTGCAAAAAATTATGCACAAAGTGATCACAGATTTTATGTGGTATAGATGCTGGCATAACGGTTTTTGCCTAGGTACGCGTCTATAGTTTTGAAATGGACTGTAAAGGGAATGATGAAACTACAATAGGATTTATACACTTGGAGTGAGAAAAAAAAGAGGATACAAGAATAGTAAGAAAAATAGCACAAACTTTAGAAAATTGCACTGGTAAAAAATTCACTCAGACGTCTCTTATCCGGGCACCTTGGGACCGGGCACTGCCTGTATCTCAGATTTGCCCGTATCTCAGGATAACTCATCTACCATGTATCATTATCATTTTTGAAGAAGTTTTTTTGGCGCATATTGCACATGTTCACAGTTCAGGTTACAAAATAATCCATGGGTAAAAATGTGCAGGTGCCGACAACAAGCAGCAGACAAGACAGACTGGAAGAAACTGTGCAGCTCGACACCCGAGGAGAAATCAGTATCAGCAGCTACTACACCTAGCTGATGATGCTCACAAGACAGAAGCGGAAAAAAACACTGAATTTCTTTATTTAGTGCTCTACTACGCGAAATGTGCTATTATTTATTATTATAAAAATGTGTGGATTACACAGGTTGGCAGTGACAAAATAAGCACTTGAGCATTCGGAAAAAAGTTCAACCCTCCAAATTCGAAGCATTTTTGCCATAGGAACTCAAGCTGAGGGTGGCCGGTAGAGAGACGTGCCCGTATCTGAGGCGTCCGGATAAGAGACGTTTGAGTGTATACGGTGAGAAATGATAGGAAATTCAGCAAGTGCAGTGCGACAATGTACATGCATGTGCAAGTGTGTGTGAGTGCGAATTTACTCGAAGAGTGTAAAGTGCGGTGACATTTTCTTTTTGTTTACAAAGGTTGGGATCACGAATGTTGCTATGGTTGTAATATGAGTGTGAGTATAGACCTTATTCGTTGACGTCATTTTTGGACTCACCTCCAGGGATTTGTCGTAAGCTGGGGAACGCGTACGTGACATGAGTAGTAAAATACCGGCAACATCTACTCCTATGTTCCCACGCCGAGTCCACTGTGCACTGAGTGCAGGTCTCTTGCCACTCCCTGGTTCCCGGGACCCCGGTTCACGTGATTGTGACGTTTATCGAATATTAAAGGTGACTGGTCTATAGTTTTATTCATTGCATTTTTAAGATTATTGTCGCCACGTCGCCTTTTTAGTATCCATGTCCCTCGTTTAACCCATGCAAAGTCGACCATTTGTAACGGACTGTTTTCATTATAACGAATATCATAAAAATGTTATTGAGAAGCTATCGTAGGTAGCATGTAACCGTTATCATAGGTAGCATGTAACCCAAGTCACGATACTACTGCACTCACAGTGCGCATGCCAGGCATGACGTGTTGCTTGTATGCCAGTATGGTGTGAGTGCCTTTCCATTATGAAGAACGTGGGCTATAAAGAACTAGGTCTCCTGCACGTTGGTGTTCGTCATATCAGAGTTACTGTACGTCCCGGGTTACATGAACAAGTAGGATGCCCCACTCCTCAAATAGTAGTACTCTTTACCTAGAGGTTGAGCTTGCTTGCACAGTTTAAATGAGAAGGGTCAGGGCCGTAGCACCCGGTCTGGCCATGGCTGGACCTTACTTGCAAAAGTTTGAACCACCCACTTCCTGCACAACAGGCTTTTCGGCAATAATGTTCATTTCTGGTCAAGTATCCCGTTTGGCCGGACCAGCTGGAATCCCGGTGGTATGGCTCTGAGGGTGGAAAGGGTCGCTGCTCTGACTTTGCAATCATCAGATCGCATATTTCAGGTAAGATAAGAAAGCAAGATGCTGTGAAGCGTCGGCGTGTAACCTAGTGATAGTATACGTGTGTATTCTGTGTGTTACCACCAAGCCACTGTTCGTGGCTTTGCGTATTCCTCAGCTGGAATTCGTATGCAAGACTAAATGGCCATTTCTGGATTGATACTTTTGTGTCTGCTAGAGTTGATAATGGTATACTTTCCTTTTCGGTACAGACATTGGCAGACCTGCAGACCACGTTGAAGGAGTCTATGTCGGCTGATGTGGGACGGCGAAAAGAGAACACTCGCAAAAATCGATACAAGGACATTGTACCTTGTAAGTCATAGCAATGTGTCTATCGTGTTGCTTGAAGTACATTTTCTCCACTTATTTGCTTCTGGCCTTAGCTATCAGGCGCAAACATCTGTTGCACCAGACCGCAGTGATCTAGCCAAAGCCGGCTCAGCGGGCAGAATGCCATGCCGGCTGGGCGACCTGCCGGCTGAGACAGCTCCAAGGGTAATTTTGGCCGGCTGCAGTCACCCCCATGTAGACTGTAGAGCCCCATATCCTAGGCGTAGGTATGTACAGTACAGTAAGTAGCACTGGCTACTCAGGCTCAGTGCTAGCTCTTCACTCAAGCTCAAATGCACTTGAGTATGCACTTGAGTATGTCAGTAAAATGTAACAGGTTGGGTCATGGTTCGCTGCTTCTGGTGGTGTACATGGCTGTGGCTAGGCTGGGTCTTGTCAGATGACCAATGTACACTGCATGCAGACATGACCTTGGTGAACACATGATCCATGCTCATGTAGCTGTTTGCTTCCTTTTTCATATTTTGTTAATTTACCTATAATCACATTCACGTTCACAACTGCCTGATGAATGCTCATAATTGGACGATGCGAAAGGAGATGCAAGCTGCAATGAAAGATTTGTAGTGGTGTGTGTGTGTGTGTGTCTGTGTGGATACGTGACTGATGGCACTAGAACGTTGGCCGCTGGCATAAAATCCTGGCTAGACCTCTGAGACCCCAGTATGTCTACATGTGTAGTGTTAGTGGTCTCTCTGTATGACGTACATTGTGATTGTATCTATGGATTGTATCTATCTACACGGTCAGGAGAGAGAAAGGACAAAAAGCGATGCTGCAGCTTCCAAGTTTCATATTATGCACCAGCATGAGAGTACATAACCATTACCCAGAGTTATGTACTCTTGACGCTCATCAGGCACACTACTTTGTTATGTATCATGTACCGTATTTCCCCGATTATAAGTCGCACTCAATTATAAGTCGTACCCCCATTTTCAGGTTTGAGCCATATTGATTTGATAATATTGACTTCAGTAGTAAGTCATGCTCGATTGTAAGTCGCACCCCTTTTTTACCCTTGGGTTTAGTGTACAAAGGTGCGACTCTGTATGTATATTTCACCCCTCTCTCTCTCTCTCCCTCTCTCTCTCTCTCTGTCTCTCTCTCTCTCTCTCTCTCTCTCTCTCTCTCTCTCTCTCTCTCTCTCTCTCTCTCTCTCTCTCTCTCTCTCTCTCTCTCTCTCTCTCTCTCTCTCTCTCTCTCTCTGTCTCTCTCTCTCTGTCTCTCTCTCTCTCTCTGTCTCTGTCTCTCTCTGTCTCTCTCTCTGTCTCTCTCTCTGTCTCTCTCTCTCTCTCTGTCTCTCTCTCTGTCTCTCTCTCTCTCTCTCTCTCTTTCTCTTTCTCTCTCTCTCTCTCTCTCTCTCTCTCTCTCTCTCTCTCTCTCTCTCTCTCTCTCTCTCTCTCTCTCAGACAATGATTACAGAGTGGAGTTGCCAGAGAGGTTTGACGGAGAAGGCCCAATTGCTGGCAGCGACTACATCAATGCCAGCTTCATCACGGTGAGTTGGTGTCAAGTTGATCTTGTATATGAATAATATAGTCTAATTCCCGTAGCTAGCCAGGGTCCACACAGCTTTAATTCGATGTTTGTGCCTGACGACGGCATGCATGGCGCTATCCCGTACATTTCCCGTACCGTACCATCAAAGACAGCTGGCCACCTTATTCAAATAGGGCTTTCAACTGCAAGATCATAACGTGAAGCAACTTCGAAGGTGTATGTATGCGAAGTGTATCGGGGGAATGCATGCAGGGCGATAGTGCGGGTTCGAATCCCATGTTCTGTCTTCATTATCGTTCGAATGTTTTTTGGGTGTGCTTGTAATGGGCTGGGAATGTAAGGATTGGGTAGATTGCAGTGTTTTGATGGGCGCGGTTGTTTTGTAAATAGAATGCTGAGATCATTAACAGAGGACTATGAGGAAGAGCAAAATGACAGGGGCGAACGTGTTGAAGCTCTGAGCAGATGGCGTCGGCAGGAGTGCCTACACACAGAGTAGAAGATGGGAGAAGAGAGGTCCTGCCGCCTCGAGAGTCGCCGTGCTTGCGAAAGGCTACGCTGACAGCAAGAAACAACTGAGCAAATATCCCATCGTTTGGAGACTCGCCAACTTCGTGAATAGATGCGTCGACAGCAAGAGCCCGCTGAATAGGCATCCAGTCGGCAGAAGAAAAGACGTGATCATGCCCGAACTTGTTCCGTATGCGGTGACTGCGGTCCGAAGGCATAGGGCCGTCATCTATGCAATCTATGCTGCTATACAAAAGATGTTACTTCATCGGCTACATCATTGTATTGCAAAAACATTTCCATCAGTTCGAATAACATTCTTGATGGGCTAGGCAAAAAAAGCATAGCATAGGGCCCTGAGCTTTCAAGCTCTCTCATCTGTATTTGCATGTCTATATTAATTGCGTATGTGTGTGTGTGTGTGTGTGTGTGTGTGTGTGCGTGTGTGTGCACGTGCGCACGCATGCGTGCGTGTGTTCGTGTTTGTATGTCCTTTCAACAATAGGACTGTGCGGGCGGCCAAGGGTACATAGCTGCCATGGGGCCTATGTCATCGACGGTACCTGACTTCTGGAGAATGATTTGGCACTACAATGTTCAGGTATACTAGCACTGTGCATGTAGCTGATCTCTGTTGTTAGCTTGTACAGGATTCGTGCACTCAGCCTGTGTTTATTCTCAGATGCATTTAGTGTACGCATTAGTTCTGTTCGTAGGCATTTAGTTGTGGTCAGCTTGGATAGCCTGCAATCCTTGTCAGTTGCCACAACCAGGTCAGTTCTCCAGCTGATATTGCACAGTCTTCACTACTTCAGTTCCAGAACATATTTGATTTTGGCCATATGTTGTGCCAACCAAGGCAGTTGTTACATTTGCCTAACTTCGTGTGCTGCATTGATGGAGTTGACAACTGTGATACCTCTTTTTAGCACCTTGTATCCATGCAGAAGCTGACAGAGCATAATAATTTTGCAGAACTAATCGTTATTTTGCTTCCCTATAAGAACTCTGTGTCATTAGTGACGTTTTTTTGCTTTGTGTGAAATGTAGAGAAATTACGTGGAAGACAGGTGTCTTGGTTTGAGTCTACAGCTTCGCGTGTTTTGGGTCCAGATTTCTACGTGGAGATGAGGTTCTCTACGTTGTGGCACACGCAAAGGAAATGCATACAGGTCTGCCAGGTATCCATACTATCATTCGATTCAGGCAGAAAACTTCCAAAATTTGGAATGGGAAAATTCCCAATACACATTCCACGTGGCTTCTTTTTCGTTTACGTAGAGCAGAACAGGTTTCCTTTACGGGAACGCGACAAGTTTTCCCAGGATCGTGTCGCGTTCCCGTAACATGGAGCAGAACATCACTGTTGTTATTATCCTACTTTTCTGATAAATATTTACCTGTGCGTTGTTTGGTTGTGGTCTAGACTGTCGTCATGCTGTGCAATGAATTGGAAAACGGCAAGGTAAGCCAGCAGAGGTTAAGTGCCAACTTCGTCACACATCCACATATGCGTAAATCATCATCATCACCATCATCATCATCACCAGGGTTCTAGCCAAAGGGGGGTAGGGGGGCGCAGCGCCCCCCTACTCCGTTTGCGCTCCCCCCCCCCCCCCCTGTGAAAAAGTGCCGCCCCCTACTCATTTTCCGATTTTTGTGTTTTTTCACGCCATTCAACGAAAATACAGTCGATTGTCACTACTAGAGGGTTCATAAAGGCACATTTGTGAGGGGTGAAGTCGGGGTTCACCCTGTATGTTGCATTTTGCATGGCAAGACAATTTTGGACAATGGAAAAAATGGGTCATTGGGTAACTTTTTCCCATGCCCGCCCCCCCCTACTATATTGACCTGGCTAGAACCCTGATCACCGTCATCATTCACATCAATGTGGTAATGACGGAGTAGAAGACAACCCACAATACATGATACTTACTTCTCAGTCCAGCACTCGTGTTCGTCGTACTGTCCAAGAAGCACAATCGGCACAAATAGAGAAATGTTCTTTCGTTGTATCGTAGAAACCCTGGCAACGTTTGTTGGCGTTATCATGTGTGCTTCCTTTTGTCTCTGCCTCTGTGTGTGTGAGTGTATGTGTGTGTGTGTGTGTGTGTGTGTGTGTGTGTGTGTGTGTGTATGTGTGTGTGTGTGTGTGTGTGTGTGTGTGTGTGTGTGTGTGTGTGTGTGTGTGTGTGTGTGTGTATGTGTGTGTTTGATGTTAGAAAAAATGTGCATCGTACTACGTCAACAAGGAGAACCCAAAGGTCGTGCATGGTGAATTCACAATTGAATTTGTAAGTGTCTTTGCTGTTGAAGCACAATGCTGTATTGTAACCTTTGTCAGAACGTTAGTCATAAACTGCACCCGGTAGTTTACACCACGAGGTGACTCTGTGAGCTGTTCAACTGTTGTTATTGTTGTAACTATCATGAGGCCACCCCAAGAGAATTTTATTTCTATTGGATGATGTTGCTGTTTGCACTGCTGCTGTTGCTGCTATCTGTACTACTTGCTTCTCATGCCGGCTTTCAGTTGGAGGATTTCGAACACAACGAGGCTATATTATCATCTGTCTTGATGTTCTCGAAAGGAGAAGTAAGTACAGAACCTTCTGGACCCCCACAGTCGACTCGACTTCTAAGGAACTCGCATGCAGCAGATTTTTTGATATTATCACTTAGTATTAATCTCCCATCTGCGTTGGCATCGGGGGGGGGGGGGGGGGGGGGGCAGCAGCATTGCTTTCTTCCTAACTTTCATGACGGCCACTCACTTGAAAGGAGATATTAAATTGCTGAACAGAAAGCAGGAAGTATAGAACGTTGAGTACAACAACCCTTCAAGTTAGCAGCACAAGATAGATGAGTTTCCCAACTCTGAAAGCTGTCGTTCTGTGCCATTGTGTTGACCTATCCAATGTCCCTGTGCTGAATTTCCTCCAGGAGTTAACATAGGCCACTAATATACTTTACTAGAATGGTGCGGGCTACATAGCCGCCACCATTTTTTTTCACAGCGTCACCTGACCATCGCTGATGTGCCACAGCCCCTCCTTGTCTTGTCGTCACTGACCCATGTGTGTACTATGAGTGCGCTCTTGTTGATAGAGTTGCTTGTTTGGTGGTTTCGTCGTGCCTGTTTGTCTTGTCCGTACGCACAGGAAACCAAGGTTCTTCGTCATTTTCACTTCCGCACGTGGCCTGATCACGGTGTTCCCACATCGTCTGAGCCCATAGTAGAGCTAATTCAAATGATTCGTGATCATCAGCCTCGCAATGACCCCCCTATTGTGGTTCACTGCAGGTAAGACTGAAATCTTGATTAATCATTTCCATGCCAAAGCTGCAACAATGCGACTGGACCAATGCTGCCTAGCAAAACTCAAGATAGTAGACAATCAGTGCCAAGTTTGTAGCCTCGCATGGCATGCCACGTGCTGTTACTGTCTCCCCGCATTTTCAGGGCTATCTGAATGTGTCCCAGAGTTGATTTTGAACAGTCTGGCGCCGTCCAGGAAGCCTCGTGTGATCTGTCCCATGCCGATAGGTATTGTCAGGAGTACATAAACAGGAGTGAGCAACTCCGCAGCTGGTCTGGCCCACGGCGGAATTTTGTTGATGTCACCTTGTTTAGAAGGCTTAACGCATGTCGTACAAAGCATGTACTGTGTGCCGACCTTCATTGCAGTTTGTGCACTCAAATGCGGCACTGCTTTATTGATGGAGTTGGATTCCTCTGGCCAGAACTACACTAGTGTGTAAAGTAACTTACGGTGCAGCATGTCAGAAATGACCGGCATGTTGAACATCGTGTATTAAAGAAATACAAACCGGGTTGATGCATGTGCTTGTGTGCTGGTGTGTGCATAGCGCTGGATGTGGTAGAACGGGTACTGTCATCGCAGTGGACTATGCATGGCAGCTACTGGAGAATGGATTGGTATGGTTTTTTGCCTTTACTATACTTTCTTCTGAGAGTCTGTTATCACTGTGCGTACTGTAGATTCGTATTCCAGTGTTCTTCCTGGAAAAAAAGCCCTTGTTACTCGAGTCATATCTGTACCTGCCAGGTTTCTCTCATTTTGCTTTTGGATACCCTCGTGCATGCATCTACAGTGCATTTCAAAACTATAGACGCGTAGGGTTTTTGAAATATTTCAAATTTGGCTGGACCTTTTTGAGAATAGTTTTCGGAATATTGCTCAGGATCGCTCCACAATTACTCTCATAATTATAGTTTCTAAAGGATTGGATAACAGACGCCCAATTTGGAAAATTTTATGCACAAAGTGATCACAGATTTTATGTGGTATAGATGCTGGCATAACGGTTTTTGCCTAGGTACGCGTCTATAGTTTTGAAATGGACTGTAGCTGAAGTACTGTCCAGACTGCTTACCATAGAGTATCACTAGTAGAGCAGTGTGCATACTGAATCACTTGAATCTTGATTGATGGTGTTGTTACTTTATTTTACTTCACCCGAACTACAGGCAGTAGAATGCCTTCTCACTAGACCAGGTCTAGTTCTCACAAATAATGAAGATTGATTAGATGGCTTTCTCATATCCGGTGTGCGTGCTATTGTCCGAATATACCTGGAATGACCAAGCTGTTGGTCGGAAAAACGAGTGTGTGTGTGGGGGGGGGGGGGGGGGGGTGCGTTATCCTCTGGTTATCTGTGTCAGTGAACCAGAACTGATCTAATGGTTACACGAATACACCACTTGCTACGTTTGATGTTTGAATATCCTTTGATCTGTACCTAGGTAGCTTTCTTTTTCTCTCTCTCCCTGGAGCAAGCTGGTTGGTGTCTGAGTGCACTGAAACACCTGTGCCACCCGCGTACTTCAGATGACAATTCTTGTCTTACCTCCATGTTCTCTCAGGACACTAACTTCTATTTGCCCGATATCGTGGCTCAGATGCGTCGCCATCGAATTTCTCTAGTACAAACAAAGGTAAGACATCAAACTATGTCTTGCATCACTGCCGAAAACGCAATCCTTGAGCACCCTGCACAGGTTTTACTGTGTCGACGTTAATTGCTGAAATGCGAGTCACAAAGTTAGAATTATACTGTAGTCGTGTAGGTACATAAGTCAGGTGTTGGGTCAGGGAAGTTTGTTCTCATTTCATGTATGTCTCTCCTGAATTCCTGAGGCTCACAATGCTCCTTCTGTATGTCCCGTATCCTCTGCCAACAGGAGCAATATGTTCTGATCTATCGATCTGTGCTGAAGCTGGCAAAGCTCTATATGCGCAAGGTAGGTATTGAGTGGTGTGTATGTATCATGACTATCTGAGGGCAGGGTGTTTCCAATTGTATTTGCGCACTGTTTCCTTCGCTGTTTCTTTGCTTCTTGTGTTCTTGGGCAGAGGAAAAAGCAAGAAGATGGTGGTGCCATAGAACCAGCGGCAGCTGCTACTCCCATTAAGGAAGACATCTATGGCAATGCCACAGTTCAGGGCATGGTTAGTTCATCGCAGCTGTGAATCAAAAAACTCTCACTACATCTGTGACCAATTTGTCTATTCACCACTACAAATCTCTTTAGCTGAGGTAGCGAAGGGGATGCAGGGGAGGGGAGAGAGACACACAACCCCTCCTATGCTGTGTTCAATGAAATAATTATGAGGTCACTCTCAAGCACCCATGCTTCTGTGGTCTTTATTTCTCATGGGCCACTTTGGTCCTTCGTTACATTTGATGTGTGTCTTTCGTGTACCCTGCCACATGTTGCTGTTTCTTTGTTAGGACTATGGTCAGCAGGTACTGGCATTAGCCCCCAAGAAACAAGCTGCACCCGCCACTCCTTGCTTCACAGTGCGTGTGGATGGCCGCGGAGATGCGGAGGAGGCAGACCTAATGGACAAGCTCAACAGTGCTGCAGCGGTAGGTGCCCTCGTGTACACGACTGTATAGGAATTCATGCAGCCCGACGGTCGCTCACGGGGTGAAGCTTACAGCCATAGCCGAACAGCTTCTTGTCTCTTGGGTTTGTAAATCGCTCTGCACTCTGGTGTATTGCGCACTTTTTAGCTGCCCCGACTGGCCTTGATTCAGGTACGTGTGTGTGTGTGTGTGTGTGTGGACGAAAATTTCGCCGGGCGGGTGACTTGAAGCGTCACTCCCCATATTGCCCGGCTCGCACGCTATCATGGTACTAGCGATGGGCGTCCAAGGTCCAAAGTGTGTGGGAGAGAGAGCTGTGAGCTGTACAGATTGCTGGTGAGAGTTTTCTCTATGCTTTTTGTAACTTAGTGCACACGTTGGAGGTGCTGTCTGGGGCTCAAGATCTCAGGTGTGCACCATACTCTGAATATTCGATGGCTGGTATTGTTAAAAAAAGTATGCACTATACTCCAGCGGTAACCCCGTCGCTTGAACTCTATGCAGGAGGGAAGGAGGAAAAGTTCAGTTTGAACTTCAAGTTTCATGTTCAGATAAGATCTTCAGGCAACCGGTAGGTGGAGACAGGTGAACCGAACATGAAGGGAAAATGAGGCGAGCAGGCGAAAGCAATCGGATTAAAATTTAGCACAAGGGCAGGCAGAACCTATATTGTAGTACAGGTTTTGGAAAACATTGAACTCCTAACACAAGATGTTTCTCACATGGTGAAAGATTCAATGTTCGATGTAGAGAGCGGGTAGCAGTTACGCCAGCGCATAGCTTAGTCTTGAATTTGACTAGCGCTACTTCGGTAGCCATTGACACCCGTGGCGCTTACCATGACGACTTGAGACGGAAGCCACGTATGAAGTCGTTAATTGGAAGCTTCGGCTTCGTTGATGATGATGATGATGATGGGGATCACGGTATCAATTTCTTTACGTCAGCTGCTACTTCACGCTTAATTAGCGAACCGATCTCTTCCCTCATTGGTCATAGAAGTCAATATGAGCCTCTTTCTTGATCTCTTCGGCTCGATCCAGTTTGCTTCTGCAGTTGCTAATGGCATCATTCACTTATTCAGTGCACACGATAAGGCGCGCTTCTTTCGACAATTTACTGTACTTCTGTGTTATGAACTCATCAATGATGTTGCAATCTAGTTGGGAGTTGGTGGACAAGCTATTGGTTAGCCACTCTTATTGTACTTCAATAATATCAAAAAAGTATTCTTTACGATACTTTTCCTGACGTTCGTTGTTCTGAACAACATCGTCAGTGGATAAAGAAACTATATACCACTCTTGGTCTAGAAAGAATACTTTTTTGATAATCTAGTTGAGCTTGGAGCGCATCAGTCTTTGTGCCCTGTTCAGCAATGATCTTGTCACTAGTGCTAATCCTATTTTAGATTCACCAGTGTACATGCGATTCAAGCTCCGGGTCTGGCAGTTGCACTGCGCCGGAAGAGATGCTGACAGCATTGATTCTTCCCGTGTTTTCCCATCTTTAGAGGCTTTTTGAGAAACTGCCTCGCCGCGAGTCCGATCATGCATTTGCTTATCAGGATTCGCTTCCAGCAAAGGCTGTGAAAAAATGAGTTTACCTTATAGTGTAGTGCTTGTTGTAGGGCTGACTCTGTGCTTCTAATATCCAACTACAAATGGTTCATGGTTGTTGTGCACGACAGGAATATGGTGACCACTGTTTTGTTTGGTACCAGGCGTATAACTCCTGCTGTGTCTTCTTTTAAAATAGTAACCGCAAGTTGATATAGGTCTGAAAATAGGATGCTTGATAGCAAAATGCTGATTTTGATTTTCTTATTGTCTTGTGGTGATCATTGTGCAGTCCAAATGTGCTAAGATTTACGAGACGGAAGCTGACTTGCAAACAGCAGAGGACGACGATGAGGAGAAGCCTCCAACCCTGCCATTCCGAACAGCGCAGTCAAATGTAATGGAGGAATCCGCTTACCAAGCGCCCATGATGGTGGACCGCTCCACAAGGCGTTCTGTTGTTGTGAGTCTGTGCTGTGTATAGTGACGTGTTTATTTTTATTTTTATGTTCATACAGTGCGCGTGTGTGCGTGTGTGTGTGTGTGTGTGTGTGTGTGTGTGTGTGTGTGTGTGTGTGTGTGTGTGTGTGTTTTGGCCTTCTGCCATGGTTCTGTGGGACTACATGTACCCTGCAACACAATTAGTAGTACTAAGTATTAGTTAGCAAACTGCTTTCCGCCATCATCAATCTGTTCATTCCCCAGAGAAAACACAGTGCATGGTACAGGTTTTGAAGTGTCTTTGCCACTGGTATGAGCAAGAGATTGATTTGTGTAGATAGTGAATGCCATGACCAGAGCATCACTTTCAAGTTTCTTGTGTTTACAGTGAGGTAATGCTAGCACTCATAGTTGTCCTTGTTCTTCTCTCAGTGACAGTCATGCTTGTGCATAATGGTGTTGAGTTACCGGTATATAAAAAAGAATGAAGAACATTGTCATGCAATTGAAATGTTTATATATGCAGGAAGAGACCGATGAACCTCCGCCGTTGTTGCCAGCCCGAACTGAAGGCTCCTATCAGCTCGCAGAGGAGAATGTCAAACGTGCTGGAGCAGCAGCCTCTCGTCTTTTCGGATCATCCCCAAAGGATGGACCACCGGTGCAGGGTGAGGCTCTGCAACAAGTAGCTACTGTAAATATACAAATTTTCAGCAGCTATTTAATTTCGGCTATATTCGGCACCGACCCAAAACGCCTATTAAAACGCCGAAGAAATTTTTCACAGCATCTGTCGCACTATACCATGCCCTCTACCCAACGCCGAAAATAAATCGCCACCGAAATGTCAAAAATCGTGAAGTGCCGAAATTTTGTATATTTACAGTATTCTGTACATGCTGGACAGGATTGTTTTTTCTAAAACTCTTAGACTCTGTGTCCACTACTCCTTGTTTACAATACTCGTGCATACCGGGTCATCGTTGCAAGCTACTGCAAAATGGCTAATTTTAGTGCCGGTGATATACTGTTTTCGCTAAAGTCTGCAGCGCCAATCGAAATTTTGTATGTACTGTACAGTACTAGTCACCTTTTTTTGAACTCTGAAGCTCGGATCGCTAAAATATTTCATCGTGAATTGGTCCTGATTCAGAAAACAGCTCAATATCATTTGTCCATGGCTATTGTCCCTGCTTGCATCCATCCTGCTGTTTGGTACTACGTGTACACTGTATTGGGTATGGGCACTGTCGATCTTGTTCTTGTCATTCTTGTTTCGAATATTTATTCGCACGATGGTCTGTGGCCAATAAGAGGTGTGTTGGCAGTACTGGTGCTGTTTGATGAAGATAGTGTTCTTGTTCTTGAAACCTGTTTTTCTTTTGCGATCCTTTGTGTCTAACTCTATTTAGTATTTGTGTTGTTATGTGTGTTGCTGGCGGTGCAGAGAGGGGAAGTTCTTTTTCGCCGAAGGATGCAGACTACATTGGTAGGTTCATTTGTTCCAATGTATCTGATCGGGGCTGGGCTCACACAATGGCTTTGCAGTTCCTTGCAACGGCAGGAATTTGTGACATATTATCTGTGCTGGCTTGGTGATAGGCCAGTATTTTGCAGTACGACTAGAGTCATAGCCTCTGCTATGCACAGCCTGGCAAAGCTAGTACACACACCAAACAATGCCATGCCTTGTTACACTGCACAACATATCTATCGCAAAGTCATCCACTTAAATGTTTTCTTCCGTCGGGTTAGCAGGCACAATTTGCAACATGGAGGGAGCATTTCAGAGATTGCTTAGCTTGGATGGTGCTATCATCAAGAGAGAGAGAGACAGACAGACAGAGACAGACAGACAGACAGATAGATAGATAGAAAGAGAGGGACAAACAGACAATGAGTCTACCTTTAGCACATGCCTCATACTCGGCACGCAACATTATGTCTGTTGGCCGACAGCATTAGCCTCGTAGAATTGATGTGATGCCTATAATGAGAAACAATATCCTGCATGCCGGCCCATGAATGTTGAGCTCCAGAAAGAAAGGAGCTCCACCACTGATCAAGGTTCCAGCCACGCTCACTTTGAGGCCAGCTACGAGAAATACCACCCAAACTATATGCACAAGGTATTTGACGCTGGTTGTCAGTGCGCTTTGCACACTGGCTATTTCTCACCATTTTCTTGGCCTTGTTTGGTTCTGCTTGTTGTACAGCTGTGGGTGAAGATGACCTGGCGGCAGTAGCGCCACCACCACCACGTTCACCGGGCAATAGTAAGTCACAATAATGTGTGGGGAACGAATAGCTGCTGTACCGGTATTCTGAGTCTACCCTTCAACGAATAGCTGGTGTACCGGTATTCTGAGAACGAATAGCTGGTGTACCGGTATTCTGAGAACAAATAGCTGGTGTACCGGTATTCTGAGAACAAATAGCTGGTATACCGGTATTCTGAGTCTACCCTTCATGTAAACTCCCACTTCGCTGCATATCCGGGCATTTACTTCTATTTATCTATCCGGGGACAAATGAACGTCAACAGGTTGCCTCAAACCTGTTAGTGATTTCCCTTTGGTGTCGTATTCTACCATGGCCACCCGTCACATGTTTAAAGGCCCTAATGCTTCAAAGAATGAAACAATAGAACAATTAATGGAACCGCTCGAAATCTTCAAACCCACTGCCCGAGCAGAATGAGGCAGGAGGACGAATCATGTAAAGCGCTCCTCCGGGAAAGCCCCATAACATTTTTTCTCCGACACCCCAGTAGGGATGTCAGCGAACGCACTGCGCAGGCCTCTGCGCATGCATTGCGTCATCGATTTTTTTAACGTGATCGCGGCCGACAGAGAAAACATGGCCGCGGTCTGTTTGCACTGCTGGGAGTCGTAAAATTACTGTTCTTCTGTCCCCGCGACCATTCAAATCATACGCGATACTCGAGGACCCACGAACTCACCACGTTCTCCCCGGTCGATTTCTCTGAAAGTTTGCACATCGTGAAACACTAGTATGAGAGGTGTTCAGGCCAATTTTCAAGGAATTTCCCTGGTTGGATCGTTCCAAAATCGGACTTCCATTTCTCGCTCACGGCCATTTCTTGCGCGATGGAAGCGCCCTGCCCTGGTGAGTAACCAGCATCGCGCTTGGTAGAGAGTTGCTGCAATCAGCTCCCTGATGTCTTCGCTGCCATTGTCAGAAGCGATGGACCATGAATTTGTTTGAGAGTCTCTGGATGCTACTATTCCTCAGCCTAGTTTTCAGCCATTCCGTGCATCTTCTTCGCACGATTTATTTTGCAAAAAAATGAAAGTGCTCATGAGTTTTCTTGTCGGCCGCGCGTAGATGGGCCAGGCTGACCTGCGCAGATGGGCTGCGCAGTGCGTTCGCTGATATCCCTAACCCCAGTTCTAGCATATGAGTTGAGAGATATTTTCAGGTCCATCTCCATATTGCTGACCTATATACAGTCAACTTCGCTAATAACGACTTCGGATATAACGACAATTCGCGAATAACGACAGAATTTCCATGCCCAGAGCAAAGTCCCATCTGACTGTATACATTTAACTTCGGATATAACGACTATCTGCATAACGACAATTTGCGAATAGCGACATGATTTTAGTGCCCCGAGGTCATATTCACTGCTTGAATAACGACTTTCTGGCTTTTTGACAGCTATTTCAAGTACCTGTCATGCAGAAGTACCAGAAGAACCCGTGGCGATGGATAAGGCACACATACAAGAAGATACAGCCAGGGGGGGGGGGGGGCGTCTTTTTTCTTTTCTTCAAAATAGTTGGAATGATCAGCACACCTATTGGACATGTAGTTGTACAGTACATGATTGCACATTAATTTTCATACATGTACATGAACATGTCCCTGTAGATGGCTCCAAAAGGTTAATTTTTCAATTCATTTCCCTTGTATATTGACTTTATTGTTCCTTTCAATTGCAATACGAAAATAAAGTACAAATTGACGTAGAGCATGAAAAGAGCTTCATTTCGATATGCATGTCATACTATACAAAATATGGGTTCACAAACATTCAAATGGGACTTCGGATATAAGGACACTTCGCGAATAAGGACACTTTTCTGATGCCCCGCCGAATGTCGTTATTCGCAAAGTTGACTGTATTATGCTGAGACATCAAAGCTTTCTTCCCTTTTTTCAGTCAGCTGTAGAGTATTGGAGTGTGTGTGTGTGTGTTTGAGTGTCAATTTGTATACAGAGAGATTTAACTAAGATAACTGGCTATAAGGACCAGAGGTTCGATTATTTCGAAACATGTTCCCTATAAAATATCAGCCCTGCCCTCTGATGTGCGATCATTGGCTTTATTGCATGTCAGGACTGTGTGCATTTCCTGCTATAACGTGATGTTTTGTGTCACCGTTTTCCACTTTGCTCTAGGTCGTCGGGGCTCAGCTGCGGGTCGTACCTCTGCAGCACAGCCTGCACAGCCTGCAGCGAGAAGGATGCATGACCCCCTGAAGGCGTCGAATAGCAACAGCTTGCGGGTAAGTGTGTGCTCTGACATGAAACAGTACCCCGCGGGTAAACTTGGTCCCACACCCGTCATCTTGTGTGTAGAGTAAGTAAGGTGTGCGCGCTCACACCCGTGCACACACACATACTTGCATACACACACACACACACACACACACACATACACATACATGCATGCACGCACGTACGCACATACATATACACACATACATACAGTCCGGTTGATCTTGGGCCATGGCAACCCACTGCAGTTCTGGAATGTCTGTCCTTGACCTTGACCTTGATCCTACCCGTCAACTTAAGATAGCGAACTGGAGTTGTTTGCAGAACTTAACGTGGCATTCTAAGTTCTAGCCTCCGGAAGAGCGCCACAACCTCGCCACTGCAGCAATGGAAGGAGGGTGGCGATGGCGAACTATCTGGGGGCCGCTTTCGATAGGCTGTATGCCACTCCGCATGACACCTAGCCGTAGCGACATCCATCCAGAGCCTCTGCTCAATACCGCATGCTTCCGTGTCTGAGAAAATCACATCCATCTCTTCTTGGGACCATGGCGAGGTCCGTCAGCTCTGCAAACAGGCAGCACTTGGGAAGACGACGATCATCATTCATACGTGCCTTACATTACCGTATTATCTCTAATATAAGCACGGTCCTTTATTTTTTCAATGTACCTCCGTCCCGTGCTATTAATGGAGACGTTCCTTTGTTGGAGACTGTTCCATGATTATTTCAACCTCATTTCAGAGGCATGTTGCCATGCCAAATTCATGTCAGACACTCACATTTCAGGGGTTTTTCGCCGGTACAGATAATGAATTTACACAGTGTGCTTATAATGGAGACTGAGCACTTTATTTTTTGAATGCCGCCCCAAGGTGTTCTATTATTGGAGACGTGCTATTATTGGAGACTGTGCTTATATTAGAGATAATACGGTATGTCCTAACCATCGCAGACTGTGCGGTCGGAGTGCCGCACAAGCCCGAGGGCCTTGCCGAGGTCAGATGATGTCAAGCGCTCCTCTCACCACTGTACTCGGGGAAGCACCAGGGACCTGGCGCACACACTGGTGATGAAAGGCATTGAGCTTATACAGATGAGGGGCATTGGTGGTCCATGTCCCCACTCCATGCAATAAAGTGGACAGGATTACAGGAAAATACATTCGCTGTTTCAGCTTTAGCAATATGGTCTTATTACGGGAAATGGGCTTCAGAAGGCTCCCAAATGCCGACGATGCCTTAGCGATTCGTGGAAACACGTCGGCAGACACATGGGTAAAAAATTATCCCTTTACTCATTGACATTCATATCCATGATATCTGTAGTTCCTGCTTGTCCTAGTTGCTTGCGCAAGTACATGTAGCGTGGCAGTGGGGTCTACATGAGCATTGAGCTAGTGCTGGACCATGTGTGACCATAGACCTAGTAAACTCAGGTGCTTTCATCATGTGACCCTAGTTGCACTCTGTCATGCGATTTCCTCTCCCTGGCTGCAAATCAAGGGGGGGGGGGGGTGCTCTGGTCATACTTTTACGGGACTTGTCTTGGTACTACTAACTCTCTTCCAAAGCTCTTGAGTCTTGACAGATTAACTTTTCATTGCTGTGTTCCTCTCATTTAACCGTAGAATGGACCCCGCGCAGCGGCAGCAGCAGCACAAACACCACTGGCTAACCGCTCCACACCCCCACCAGCGCATGAACACGGGTCTTCCCGACCAAAGCCGGCAGATCGGCGTGATGCGAACAGTAAGTAGTGCTCAGTCACTGTACAGTGTCTGCTGTGTTCCCTTTCTTACTGCGTGTGTGTGTGTGTGTGTGTGTGTGTGTGTGTGTGTGTGTGTGTGTGTGTGTGTGTGTGTGTGTGTGTGTGACGGAGAGGCAGATAAAGAATTGAACATATCTGTCCCTCCAGGAACTTGCGATTCCGTGGCCACGTTGTTTTCCGCGATTTGAACAAAAGTCCGCTA